CACACTTGTTTGTGCTTCTTGTTTGTCTGTTTTTTCCGAGAAAAACTTCTGTCTGTCTCATTTGGCCAAAATCGTCTGCCACAAGACCTCAATCGGGCGCCATCAGCACGGACCATCTGCGTCTCCCCCGTTTCACCCACAGGGGGCAGCAAAGACTGCAGCATCGGCTGCAGCAGCTAACAGGAACTCTCGAAGAAGACCTCTCCGGCCTCCATTTCATGGAGAAGAACCAGACTTTTGCACAAACCGAGTGGAGTTATGTGCACGGAGAAGAACGTTGTGTAAACCTAACAAGAAGAAGAAGGACACACACTGAGACAAAGAAAGACATGAGAAAGTGATTGAAAGAAGAAAGAAAGTGATTGTTTAAAGAAGAAGGAAAAAGACATTGAGACAAAGACATTGGACACTTTGAGACAAAAGACATTGAAAGACGCCATGAGTAAAAGAAAGACATTAACGGACATTTGAGACGTGGCTGGCCTAAATGAGACACACAGAAGGTAAATATACAGACAGGCAACAAACGCACAGAGACATATTAAGTCATATTTACACATTTAGCTAGGTCATTCGTTCATAACACCACATTTAGCTGCATGAAAGAATACAGGACAATCGTTAAAATTAATTAGACTCTTGCTTTAGCATGAGACACAAGAAGATTAGAATTGTAGTATAGCTGTGCATGATTCAGATGAGTTTTATTATTAAAACTATTATTGATATTTAAAGTTATAGACACGGAGAAGTTTAGAATTATTGATTTTGACTGCATGATCTTGGTAATACGGATATTTAAAGCAGTGTTTTCAACCTTTGAACCGTGGCTCGTTAATCATTTAAAAACAGTCACATGCACAGTTGAAACTGGTGCTAGGAAGAGAACTGCAGCTTTTAATGGACGCTGCATTTAGTACAAAATGGTTTGTTCAGACAATTAAAGTTTGAAAAATGATTTAAAGCATTTCTGAATTTTGGCTAAAGGTGATATTGGATCATTTCTGATAACACATTGACGCAACACTGTTCATTGGTTGAAAACACGGATGTAGGGACATTTTATGAAATCTTTTATGACATGTTTCTTTTCCAAATAGCTAAATTAGAAACAATTAGGACAATTATGTCTTTGATATAACTGTTGGCAGTTTATCTGAGACATGATTGGTGCAAGTACACACACATAAAACGATGGTCTTTTCTCCACATGAACGTGAAACAAAGGTGAAGTATTAAAGTTTGAAACTAATTTACATTTTTAATGAATCCGACCTGGCTTTTTAAAAAAAAAAAGGGAAAAACATTTATTGCACGTGCACGAGTTTTTTTTTAAGTAACAAGAGCTCATTAAAAATATAGGGGACACAATTTGTGAGAAGCCCGAGTAAAGACCACGTGGTTTAAACACTAAAGTTTGAAATGGATCCTTGTAGGAAAAATCTATTAAAGCTCTGCATGTTCTGCAGGCTCTGAAAGTTGCAACAATGGAAATAGCTCATGAGACAATTGTAATTGGACATGGAAAAATATAACAAAGTTAAAATTACAGGCCTCCTGTGTTGTCTATATGTTTGTGTGTGTTATATGTTTGTGTATGTTATATGTTTGTGTATGTTATATGTTTGTGCGTCATGTCAAGTACACTACGTTGACCTTAACAAACTGGACCAATACACTAACGTGGGGAGTCGGCCTGTGTGAGTGTGATGCGAGTGTGGAGTGAGTGTGGAGTGAACGAGGAGTGCTGAACGGAGAATGGAATAACAAAAGTTTTCTGTAATGTTTTAATGTGATCATGGAATAATTATTTTTTGTCAACAGCATACGGTGTAAGTACTAGAGATTCAAAGATAACAAGCTTTATTGAACAGGTGTAAAAGTGAGAGTACTCTGGGATGAGTACTCTGAGAAAAGTACTCTGAGAAAGTACTCTGAGATGAAATACCTTGCTGAAGGTACTGGGAGTCCCTCCCTCTGCTGTTTGTCCTGACAGTGATTCGGTCCAACCGCAGTGAGCTGTCTTGGTTGAAGAACAACTTTGGTTTGTAACTCACATTTAGGGGAGTATAAAATTAGAAACATACATATTGTTAAGTCTGTATTTGGCTACAGCCTCTGCCCTGATGTCACACACCGTCTGTCAATGCAGTTATGTTTTGCCCAATTGGATTGATTGACAGGCCGCACCATGCGAAGAGAGGAAAGTGGGCATTTCTGGTGTTCTAATGTTTGTTTTTCAGATGTAAGATAAACTGCACCTGCTTCAGGGATGACAGTAGTATGGATCATGAGGAAAATGAGCCTCTACTTTGGCACCAAAGCCCACAATATGAATTGAGGACGATCCGGGAGGAACAACTGAAGATGATTGGAACAGTAATCTACACACACACAGATGCATGTTTTATACTTTGGACCACGACCAACAGAGGGAGTATAGTAATGTTATTGTCATAGGTGGTCATGGTCCTTAACCTTCTAAATCATTAGAAAGAAGTGTAAAACATATATTTACAAGAACAAATAAATAATAGAAAGGGCAGCCTAAAAAAGCAAAATGGGAAAATTATTAAGTAATTTTCAGAGTTGCCAAAATGAAATAAAATTCTATATTTGTCCCATAGGGGGTCATTCTAAATTTAGTGTTGTGCAAATTCAAAAAGGAGAAATAATAGCGCTTATAACATCAAACAGATCTACTCTTTAAGATAATAGATCATACAATAATAATAATAGAATAGAATGAAATAGTCTGGAGCTATAATGTCATTGGATTCGAGGAGCTATAGGTTGAAAGGTCGCTAGGAAGAGGTGTCAGAATAAACAATAGTAATAATAGTTAGAGGAGTGAATAATCAAAATAGTTCTATTGTGAAAATAAGTATCAATAAGGTCAAATTGTTCTAATAACTAAAGTAAAAAGGAATCAAATGGAGTCAGATTTTAGATGTTTCTGTTTTCCACATCTGTAGGAACTAGTGCAGATGTGTTTATAGAGAGTAGTATTAAAATGCAGACATAGAACGACAGGCTTTAACACAATTTTAAATCTAAAAATAGCTCAAATATAACATTGCTCTTGATGCAGCCTCTGAGCTGCTCCATTGGAGAACAGGTTAAATGTTATTGTTTATTACAAACAGCTGATGTATTTACACATATTAAGTTTGGGACAACTCTTTAAACAGTTATAAGCAGCGGACAGAAGCCATGAATGTGCTTTTGTTTATTAAATAATTAATTTCATAGCCATATAATCGTAGAGAACGGTTTTAAAATAGTTCTCTTCCTCCCGCTCCCTTTCAGGCAAATTGAATAGATTCATGTTTTTAATATTGGAGAACGACTGTGTTGTTTTTGGAATTGTCTGAAATACAATACATAGAATAGTGATTTGCAGAACAAGAACCAGCCAATGAAAAATCGTCTATTGCCAATGCAATTGTTACAATCAGAACTCAAAAATTGGGAATATGCTTTGGCTCAAACTACAACCAAGATTTGGAGTCACAATAGAGTGTAAAATAGATAGATGCTTTCAAAAATAGAGATTATTTTTAGACAGGGCTAATATCAAACGGTAAAAGGACCATTTCCTTCATATTATGTCCAAAAGTATTTACTTCAAAGGTAGATAAAGTTCATTACAGTTTATGCACAGTTTTATTAGATACTGTCAAATTCACTTGTTTCAAACATAGGTGAATGTTGACAATGCAAAAAGCTAATGAGATAGATTAATGAGATCGATTAGAACCAACACAGATTCAAAAACATTTGAAAGCATTTTAATGAATTTGGGTATAGCACAAAAGTAGATCTTTAGGTAGTTTTGAGAATTTTAAGAGCTGTCAATTTGTCAGCAACAGATTAGAGAATCAAAATACCGTTGTATAGGGACTAACCCCAGAGAAACCTGCTAAAATAGATTAGCTCCTGTACGGATAATACCAATTTGATTAACGATGTACATTTATCCCAAACGCTCTGAGAGAAGGAAGTGACAGCACTTCCTGGTTCAACAAAATGTGTTTGGAAAAATGAGCAAAGCCCCACAAAATGGCACAGAGCCACTCAGAATGACAGCAGTGGTCATCAAAGAGTTTTGTGAAGGAATGTTTCGAATGTGGTTGTGTGTTGTATTCTTTCTGTATTAACTCTTCACAGATATCAAGCCGGAACTAAGCACAAGTATTGATGATAAACGACGATGTGGATTGTGACCTAATTTTTTAATCAGGTCAAAAGAGGGAAACTGTTGTATATTTTAACTATGCAGATGTGAATATTGGCTGACCCTGATTTGAACTGTCAAAAAGACCTGGTTTCCCCATGTTCCTTTGTTAGTCCAAAGTGCATGGGTGAGTTAATGATAGGTAATCTGGGGGGGGATTCTGCTAATCCTGAAGGAGGGGGACCCAGAGAGCCTTCTGCCTTATCTCAAAGAAGTAATAAATTTGGGGAGTGGTAGTGTGTGTGAATGATTCTGTTTAAGGTACGGCAGACAGAGGGGACATGATGGAAGAGGCCGGACCCAAGTCCTGCCTGATACGACACGCCCCCTGCTTCCTGAACATGGACTGATAATGCTCTGGCTTGAGAGGACACAGGAGAATGAGCCGAGGGCGAGCCAGGGACATGCATAGTTTTAGGAGCCCTCTTTGTTGGAATTTCTGTATCTGATTGTAAAGATAATTAAATACAGATGTTAAAACTTGGAGATCTGTTGTCATGCCTCTGCATCAACTCGAACACGTCAGTCAAGGGAATTATTGACTTCACTCAACAGATATTTAACAAAGCCACTGTTTGTACGTATGTTCCAAGTGCAGGGTCCTGTTTGGGCTTCTGCGATTTCACAAAAGTATCCTTTAGCAAACTTAATAACACAGTTTCACATATGAATGGAGGCACTGAGGTTTTTCTGTCCATTCTGTTTAATTGAACCCCCAGAAAAGCAGTTGTAAACCTTGTAAAATTCCATTATATCTCTTCAGATTTCTTCATTCAATGACCCTGACTTCCTGAAGCACTTGGAGATGGCCATAAAGTTTGGCTTCCCGTTCCTCTTCCAAGACGTGGACGAGTACATTGACCCAGTGATCGACAATGTGCTGGAGAAGAATGTGAAGGGGGCAGAGGGCCGGCAGGTCATCATGCTCGGGGACAAGGAGGTGGACTACGACCCCAACTTCAGACTGTACCTCAACACCAAGCTGGCCAACCCCAAGTACTCTCCATCAGTGTTCGGCAAAGCCATGGTCATCAACTACACCGGTATGACCCAGTCACAGAGCTGTCTTCTTCTCTGTTTACTTGGAGATTGATAATAATAGAAATAATAATAATATAATAATAATAATAATAATGCATCAGTTTTGTATAGTGCTTTTTTAACACTCAATGACGCTTCACATGTCATTATTCATTCACTCCAAACACAGTGGCGATAACTACTACTGTAGCCACAGCTGCCCTGGGGCACACTGACAGAAGCAATGGTTACAAGTATGTGCCATCGGCCCCTCCCACCACCACCAGCCATTCACACGCACACCAGACTCATTCTGATGTGGGTTAAGTGTCTTGCCTAAGGACACAATAGCAGATGGCGCTTTGCCACTTTGGTGTTCCCAGAGGTCTCCCATTACAGCAGGGGTGGCCAACCCGCGGCTCGTGAGCCGCATGCGGCTCTTTGGCTGGTTCCGTGCGGCTCTCGGGCTTTCACACGACAAGCGTCAAAAACGCCTCGGTGGTGGCGCTGCCATTCATTCTCTATGTAGTTCTGACCCATAGTAAAGGCAGACTTCACTCCACTAGCCAGGCCACCAAAACAATCTGACGTCGGCGAACGTCAATTCTGATTGGTCAGATGCGCTGTCAACCACTCTGCAGCCGCTGCCTCAGCTGTTAAATATCATAACAAACAACACGTTGCCTCGACCCATGGCGTCCGTACGGAAAAAAGTTCCTTGGTCGCTGGATGAGGGCAACTCCTTCCTCAGTTTGAGGAGAGGACACCAGCGTGAGCTCGATGGTTCCACCAGAAACCAGAAAGGTGTTTGTGGAGCTAGCGCTAAGGACGGAGCAGAACGATTCCCACGAACATGACAATGCAGAGAAAAGTTAAAAAGCTTAAAAGTGACAACCGTGAAATGAAAGATCGCAGCAGCAGAAGTAGAGGCAGACCCGAAAAGTCTGGAGGTGGTTTGACCAAATGGATTACATTTACGGACATCGGCTAACACCGGCTAACACCGGCTAACACCGGCTAACATGCTAAAACCAGCTAACAACAACTAGCGTTACACCAGGAGATAAGCCAACTCTGCCTGGTGAGTGTCTGTCTTCAATCAAATGCAAAAGTATCTGGTCTTATACTGAGCATGTGTCTGTGGTTCTAAATCAGCTAAAGTGGTGTTGGTGTTATGTGTCAAATTTATATCTTTTACTAAATACAGTCAGAGAGTGAATCATGGTTCGATAAAGACAGTTGTGTTTCTGCTGAATACTGGGTTGAAACTTGATTTTTTTTTCTTGGTTAGAGATTGAAAGCATTCATTTCGGAATCATAATTGATGTTCGCTGACGTGCAATTGTTCTGGTATCGACTCGCCCGGTTAGAACCAGGGCCGAACCATCAATAAAAAGTACCGGGGAGCGGCTAAAGCGAGCGGTAGAAGTGCCCGCAAACCAGGGAGAGTCGAGTCCAGCCCTTTAGTACTGTACGAGTCAATTTCTGTCATTATCATGTTGATGACATTTACATCTATCTGAGCAGAGCACACCTCTCTCTGCTCAGACAGGTTGCATGTGTGTGCGTGTCTCTGCTCGTGTGCGTACGTGCGCGTGCGTGTGCGTGTGTAAGGGTTGGGGTGATGTTTATGTAGCGCACATTTGTATGATGTGGCTCTTTGCTGTAACAAAGTAAAAAAAAATGGCTCTTAGTCTCTGACTGGTTGGCCACCCCTGCATTACAGCAATAATAATGAACAATAGGCCTGCACTTGGGGAGTGCCTAAAGAGTCAAGCAGTGACTCACGGGGCTCTCGTTGTAGTGTGATTTGTCCACAACTTTTTACTTTTACAAGACTCTTTATGTGGCGGAACAAATGACATGTGTTTTTTTAACAGATAAAAGTGATGTGCCCCAACTTTATTGGGCACTGCACATATGGACCTATTTTATGAGCAATATTCTACAATATACTGAGAAACTGAGGAGTGCTGTCTAGAAATGTTGCTAATGACATGACTAACATGAATTGACATTGTGTGCAGTGACCCTGAAAGGCCTGGAAGACCAGCTCCTCAGTGTCATCATGGCCTACGAGAAGAAGGAGCTGGAGGAGCAGAGAGAGTTTCTCATCCAAGAAACCAGTGAAAACAAGAAGCTGTTGAAGAACCTGGGAGACTCCCTGCTGCGAGAGCTGGCCACCTCCACAGGGAACATGCTGGACAACACTGAGCTGGTGCACACCCTGGAGGAGACCAAGTCCAAGGCCCATGAGGTCTGCAGCCAAGCACACACAGCACCTACACACAGCACCTACACACAACACCTACACACACAGCACCTACACACAGCACCTACACACACAGCACCTACACACAGCACCTACACACACAGCACCTACACACAGCACCTACACACACAGCACCTACACACAGCACCTACACACACAGCACCTACACACAGCACCTACACACACAGCACCTACACACACAGCACCTACACACAACACCTACACACACAGCACCTACACACAACACCTACACACAGCATCTACACACACAGCACCTACACACAACACCTACACACAGCACCTACACACACAGCACCTACACACAACACCTACACTCACAACACCTACACACACAACACCTACACACACAACACCTACACTCACAACACCTACACTCACAACACCTACACTCACAACACCTACACTCACAACACCTACACTCACAACACCTACACTCACAACACCTACACTCACAACACCTACACACACAACACCTACACTCACAACACCTACACACACAACACTTACACTCACAACACCTACACACACAACACCTACTGTACACTCACAACACCTACACTCACAACACCTACACACACATCACCTACACACACAACACCTACACTCACAACACCTACACTCACAACACTTACACTCACAACACCTACACTCACAACACCTACACTCACAACACCTACACTCACAACACCTACACTCACAACACTTACACTCACAACACTTACACTCACAACACCTACACACACAACACCAACACTCACTCTTTGGTACAGTTGTCCTTGGCTGCACTGCGCTGTGACTTTAGGACAGGGATCTCCAACCTATAGCTCGGGAGCCACCAGTAGCTTGCCACCCCCTTCCAGGTAGCTCACCAAAGGATTTAGAAATGAACAAATCAAACAGCATACTTAATATTTTAGATTGTATTATTGATTATCATTATTTATTACTGTAAATGCACTAACAAATATTCAATGATAAATATTGAATGTGGGGGCGACAGTAGCTCAGTTGGTAGAGCATTGGCCGTTGGGCCTGAAGGTCGTGGGTTCGAGCCCACCATAAGACCTACTTCACGACTCCCACTGATGACTGCTGTCGTTGTGTTCTTGGGCAAGACACTTAACCCCACTTTGCCTGAAGCCCCCACTGAAAGCTCTCAGCTCCTGTGGACTCACCACCTGCAGGAGGATCAGGGAGGGGCTGGTGCTCTGTGTACTGGGTGCAGCTCTGACTGCCACCCCCCCGACCCAGAAATGGATTAAGGGGAAGAAAAAAAAAAAAAAATGGATGGAAATATTGAATGTACCCATATCAGGCTTGTTTACGCCAATTTATCAACACATTTTTCCGAGGGCCGCTTAGCGGAGTAGCTCTCTGCCTTCATTGTTCCGGGAAAGAAGCTCTCTGGGGGAAAAAGGTTGGAGACAGCTGCTTTAGAAGGTCTTCCTCCTGTGCTGTTGCAGGTGTCTGAGAAACTGATGCTGGCCCAGAAGACATCAGTGGACATAGACAAACTGAGGGATGGCTATCGTCCTGCAGCCAAGCGCGGGGCCATCCTGTTCTTTGTGCTGACTGACATGGCTCTGGTCAACAGCATGTACCAGTACTCTCTGGCCTCGTACCTGGAGATCTTTGACTTCTCCCTGCGCAAGTCTCTGGTTGACTCTGTGCTGGAGGAGAGGCTCAAGAATATCATGGACGCACTGACCTACAATGTCTACAACTACGGCTGCACTGGTAGGCTCCACATCATCCAATAGGACAATTGTTTAAACAATGTATTTTGAAGCTGATGAATGATTGGAAAGTTGTGTTAGGGAATGTTTGAATGACATCTCAGTGTAAAGAGGTGTGGCTGTGCAAGTAGAGGAACAAAGAGTGGAGCAAGACTCTGCCCTGATCTTTTGGGCCAGGGCTCTTAAGGGTTAATATCCAATATACGGGGGTCAGCCCAGTGTTCGCTAGAGCCTGTGGCCGTTCGGTGCTTCGTCAGATGCATTTTTAGTCTGTTCTCCCCTGTTGGCAACCTAACATTTAGAATCTGATTTTTATTTAACATTTTCTTTGGCTTTTTGATGCAAATACATTGTGAATAATGATACTAAAAAAGGTGTACATCTACCGTCCTATGATTGATACTAAAGTGCGGGTTTTACAACGTGACACGAGTTCAAAATGACTTGATATCAAAGTGAGTGTGTGACTGGTGGTGTGTGTGTCTGACAACGTGTGTGACTGGTGGTGTGTGTGACTGTATGTGACGGTGTGTGACTGACGATGTGTGTGGCTGACGCTGTGTGTGACTGTGTGTGACTGTGTGTGACGGTGTGTGTCTGACGACGTGTGTGACTGACGCTGTGTGTGACTGACGCTGTGTGTGGCTGACGCTGTGTGTGACTGTGTGTGACTGTGTGTGACGGTGTGTGACTGACGCTGTGTGTGACGGTGTGTGACTGACGACGTGTGTGACTGACGCTGTGTGTGACTGACGATGTGTGTGGCTGACGCTGTGTGTGACTGTGTGTGACGGTGTGTGACTGACGCTGTGTGTGACGGTGTGTGACTGACGACGTGTGTGACTGACGCTGTGTGTGACTGACGCTGTGTGTGGCTGACACAGGGTGTGACTGTGTGTGATGGTTTGTGTGATGTGTGTGTGACGTTATGTGTGACGTGTGTGTGACGCTGTGTGTGTGATGTGTGTACAGGTCTGTTTGAGAGGGACAAGCTGTTGTTCTCCTTCAACATGACTGTAAAGATGGAGCAGGCAGAGGAGCACGTGCCTCAGGACGAGCTGGACTTCTTCATCAAAGGTTTGTCCTTCTCTGCTGGAGGTTTATTATAGACTGCAAATAAGTTTTTAAACGTCTGTGAGCCTCATGTTCTGCTCCTGAAGGAAACCTGTCTCTGGAGAAGAGTCGCAGGAAGAAAGCGTGTGATTGGCTGATGGAGCAGAGCTGGGAGGATGTCATCAAACTGTCTGAGCTGTTACCAGAGCTGTTCGGGTCTTTGCCCGACGATGTGGAAGCGCATTCTGAGGACTGGAGGACTGTAAGAGCTGTGTGTGTGTGTGTGGGTGTTCTTACCTTACCTTAGACGAGTTGATATGTACCTGTGTGCTCTTTGTCCGTGCGCTCTGTCTTGCAAACGGAGCACAAACGCAGCCTCTTCCACATACTGTATAGTACCAAATCAGTGCGCGGGCGTAGCGCTCCTCGTATTATTACGCCTCACAATATAGTTCCCCTTTTTATCCGCTGAGAAAATGGACATGTTACATTTCTGTGTTACTATACTTTGTAGTGTAACATGTCACGTAACTGTATTTAAATAGGGAACACGTGGAAGAGCTTGGTAGCTTCTAACGGGAGCTGATTTGGTACTATAAAGTCTGTGGAAGAGGCTGCGTTTGTCCGTGCGCTCTGTCATGCAAACGGAGCACAAAGATCACACAGGTACATATCAACTAGTCTAAGGTAAGGTAAGAACATATGTCAGTATGTAAAAACGGTGGCCTATTCCTTTAACACTTTTAGACCACTACATACCAATTTCAAATAAATAGAAAACATGGTAACTGTAGCAAACAAAGAGCCCTTGTCATGCATGTAAATTATTCTCACCATTTAGCAAGTTTAATTGACATTTTTCTTGAATATCTTCAGTACCTAGTCTGTGTTTTATCTGTCATTTGTATGTGTCTTATAGTGGTACGATCTGGACGCTCCAGAACAAGCCGTGTTCCCGGGCAGATACCAAGGCAGCCTGAGCGCGTTCCAGACCCTGCTGCTGCTGCGCTGCTTCAGAGTGGACCGAGTCTACAGAGCGGTGACCAACTATGTGACTGTCACCATGGGAGACACGTAAGACCAACACAGACACACCCTCTTTGGAGCATATTAGTCACAACACTTAGAAATTAGTCTCTTCAAGCTTTCTGTCTCATATATTGTATGAAAATAAACAATTTTCAATTACTATACACTCTGAGACTAGCACAGTGTTTTTTAGATCCCTTAGGATCTAAAAAACAATAAAATGTGAAGAGTCCATTTGGAAATGTTGTGCACCAACAGAAAGTCCACACTTGTTACCCCACCTCGCTCTGCTGTGTATAACAAGGGGAACAGAGGTCCCTCAGTCCTTCAAACCCTCTCTGTGGAGGGCCCTCAGATAGTGTTGTGTCCTCAGATATGTGCAGCCCCCGGTCATCAACTTCGATGCCGTGTACGAGCAGAGCACCCCCTTCTCTCCCATCGTGTTCATCCTGAGCCCGGGCTCAGACCCCGCTGCTGACCTCATGAAGCTGGCTGAGCGCTCTGGTTTTCACTTCAAGTTCCTGGCCATGGGACAAGGACAGGAGAAGGTACATCCTGTTTTCATCTATCAAATAAATCAATGACTAAAATAAAGTTGTGAAAACCAAATGCTTTGAATACAAAAAAGGATCAAAATGAAGGCCGAGGGCCTAACATTTTCCATGCTTTTAACTTTTGCCTTACACTATTTAATTCAGATTGTCAGTCTTATAGTCTTCCTGGGGTCATAGGTGTTCCTGAAATGCCAGTAAAGCATAGTAGCTATTCTGTAAAGATGAGTTTAGTCGCGTTAGAGTGTGCTGTGTGTGTCCTGCAGGTGGCGCTGCAGCTGCTGGAGAAGTGTGCGTCTCGTGGCCAGTGGCTCATGCTGCAGAACTGTCACCTCCTGGTGAAGTGGCTCAAAGATCTGGAGAAGGCCCTGGAGATGATCACTAATCCTAACCCTGGTTTCCGCTTGTGGATTACCACCAACCCCATCCAAGACTTCCCCATCGGGATCCTGCAGAAGTCACTCAAAGTAAATCACTTCTATTTCATCACTGACGTCAGAGGTCGGTCCAGTTTGATTAATAATAGCAAATGTGTCACAGCTGCGACTACGGGACAAAGACAGAGGCTCTATAATCCTCTGTCATCCAACACTTCCAGCTTCCCTTATTGCGCCTTCGTTCATCGTTCATTCGTTCATTTCATTTTGAGTGACAGGAAGTCACAAACTAGGAATTTGTAAATGTCATATATTGCAAGCTAATTTGAAAAAATCCATCTATCCATTTTCTTCCCCTTAATCCATTTCTGGGTCGGGGGGGTAACAGTCAGAGCTGCACCCAATACACAGAGCACCAGCCCCTCACTGATCCTCCTGCAGGTGCTGAGTCCACAGGAGCTGAGATCTTTCAGCAGGGCTTTGGGCAAAGTGGGGTTAAGTGTCTTGCCCAAGGACACAACGACAGCAGTCATCAGTGGGAGTCGGTGGAGAAGGTGTCGAGGTGGGAAACAAACCCACGACCTTCAGGCTTAAAGGCCAATTTTTTATAAAAATAGAAGTAAATGCATGCAGAAGACTGGACAAAGTTGTTGATTCTTCACCAACAGAGAAGGAAAATTGATCAAAGAAATGTTGATAAATGTCCTTAAATGGTCTACAGTTCATCTAAATGTAAATGTAATAATGGACCAAACACTTGAATTGTACTTTGTGGCAGTGAACCTTGTGAATAGAAAACACAGTCTGAGCCTGTCTTGCTGCTCAGGTGGTGACTGAACCTCCCAATGGTCTGAAGCTCAACATGAGGGCCACGTACTCCAAGATCTCCAACAACTCCCTGGCCGCGTGCCCACACCCGGCTTTCCGCAGCCTGGTCTACGTGCTGGCCTTCTTCCACGCTGTTGTCCAGGAGCGACGTAAATACGGCAAGATCGGCTGGAACGTCCCGTACGACTTCAACGACTCTGACTTCTTTGTGAGTGTCATTAAACTCTAATGTTTGTAGGAACATTACAGTCTATGGTAGGAATGGTCTCACAAACAGATACGCTGGAGCCTTGTGGGGCGGACTGGTCCAGAGTGGAATGTGTGACGTCCTAAACAAACATATTGTCACAAATGTGCAGTAAAACCTGTTTAATATACACGTCTCCAGAACCAAAAGATTCTCCTAGAAACCGTAAAACAAAATGGAAAACCTTTATTTCTATCTTTATTTGATTTGAACATGTAGTCAAGTACAACATTCACTCATACAACAGAATAGGCGTTTACACGTTTGTTGAAGGTGAGTATAAAGAGCAATCATGACAGCACAGACAAATAATTCCCTGGGAGATAGTTGGCTGCTTCTCGGGCCTGCACCAGGAGACCGTTGGGGGGCAAATAAATATTTTCTCCTGCTGACTTGAGCTCGGTAGCGTCTAGCTTTCCTTGAAAAGTTTTCTTGAGAGAATAGCATTGTAGCTATTTTTACCAAAACAATATCTTTGCCTCCTTTAGTCTTTGTGGGTTTGTAAAAACTAAAAAAAAAAACTTGTCGGGCTACATATAGCAGCACATCCAATCAAAAGATATGCATTCTCTGAAGCTGTGTGCCTGCTCGCCTCAGGGGAGCCTTCTTGATGCTGATTGGTTCATGTCATAGGATTCGTGATCGTTCACTTAAAGCTACCGTGGGGCAGCACTGTTGCCTCTGAAGCCCTTAAGGCAGATTTTTAATGCTGGCAACACATTATGCTGATTAATGTTAAGAACTCGAATATACCCTCCAAATCTGTAGCTGAAGCGTCAAAACCCACTTAGGAAAACTATGAAATAAGTATAGACTATGGGGAATAATTGAATACATATTGTGGAACAAAACTATACTCCTGATTATGTTAAGGGGCCGAGCTGGCCTTGAAGGTCCACCACTGTGGGAGACACAGTGCAACATATGACGAAGCACTGTAATAATGTGAAATACTTGTTTATATATATATATATATATATATATATATATATATATATATATATATACTGTTAGTTGCAGCTCTTCTGAGTGTCCAACTGGCTCTGTCTCTGTCAGGTGTGCATGGAGGTGCTCAACACATACCTGACCAAAGCCCACACTCAAGGAGACGGCAGCATTCCCTGGGGAAGCCTCAAGTATCTCATCGGGGAGGTCAGTACTTTCACCACCTTTTCCTTACACAGGATATATGTCAATTGGTTTCAGTAGGATGTGCTTAGTTTTGTTGTATTTAGTTAAACATCCTGAAGTGAAGATGAGGACAGAGAATGGTAGTGACTAGTGTTTTGTGATGAGCAGGTGATGTACGGAGGCCGCGCCATAGACAGCTTTGACCGCAGAATCCTGACCATTTACCTGGACGAGTATCTGGGAGACTTTCTCTTTAGCTCTTTCCGCTCCTTTCACTTCTTCCGCAACAAAGATGTGGACTACAAGATCCCCCCAGACGGACTCAAGTGTGTCTATGAGGGTTAGTGCGACTCTCTTGGATATTATGGCAACTATCTTAGAAAACAGACCTGGAGTTGTTTTTATTTCAATTCACGCTAATTTTGGGAATTTATGGAACAAACCGCCACAAACATGTCCCTAAGCTCTTTGTTTATGTTTATGCAATTACAATCTGAAATACTACAAGTTGATTCTTTTGTTGATTCCACAACACATGACCACTCTAAGGAAGAGAATGTAAAAACGACTCAGATTCTATGTTGATTCTTTGTTTCGATCAATCTAGAAGACCAAATAAACCTCGCTGGACTAACTTCTAGAATGATCTGTCTGAAAATATTGCAACACAAATATTTGATCTGCATTTTTATAAATACATCTTATAAATATTTAAATGCACATGTACATATTTTTCCTTCTGATAATATTCCCAGTGTGTGTGTGTGTATGTCATCTTGTATGGCAGATGAGATAGAGTCACTTCCGTTAGCCAACATTCCTGATGTGCTCGGGCTGCATCCCAACGCAGAGATTGGATACTACACCCAGGCGGCCAAGGACCTGTGGGCCAACCTGATCGACCTGCAGCCTCAGACAGGTAACACAAAGACCCTCATCTTTATTATCTTTATCTTTAACGCCATAAACCTGGAGCGGCACAGGTCGGCCCGGCAACGTGATGCATTTACGAAACGACAAATCTACACTGGAAACTTAGGGAAGGTGCTGGGAACGGCCCCTACACAGCTACAGGAAAATGGAAGCTCTGTGTCCCAGGACAGACCCCCCTCTGAAGCCCCTGTGTCCCAGGACAGACCCCCCCTCTGAAGCCCCTGTGTCCCAGGACAGACCCCCCCTCTGAAGCCCCTGTGTCCCAGGACAGACCCCCCCTCTGAAGCCCCTGTGTCGCAGGACAGACCCCCCCCTCTGAAGCCCCTGTGTCCCAGGACAGACCCCCCCTCTGAAGCCCCTGTGTCCCAGGACAGACCCCCCTCTGAAGCCCCTGTGTCCCAGGACAGACCCTCCTCTGAAGCCCCTGTGTCCCAGGACAGACCCCCCTCTGAAGCCCCTGTATCCCAGGACAGACCCCCCCTCTGAAGCCCCTGTGTCCCAGGACAGACCCCCCTCTAAAGCCCCTGTGTCCCAGGACAGAACCCCCTCTGAAGCCCCTGTGTCCCAGGACAGACCCCCCTCTGAAGCCCCTGTGTCCCAGGACAGCCCTCCCTCCAAAGCCCCTGTGTCCCAGGATAGACCCCCCCCTCTAAAGCCCCTGTGTCCCAGGACAGACCCCCCCTCTGAAGCCCCTGTGTCCCAGGACAGACCCCCCTCTAAAGCCCCTGTGTCCCAGGACAGAACCCCCTCTGAAGCCCCTGTGTCCCAGGACAGCCCTCCCTCCAAAGCCCCTGTGTCCCAGGGCAGACTCCCCCCCCCTCTAAAGCCCCTGTGTCCCTTTGCAGGGCAGTCCGGCGGCAGCGTCAGTATGGACGAGCACATCAGTCAGGTGGCCCAGGACATCCAGAGGACACTCCCAGTGCTCTTTGACCTGGATGTGATCCGGAGGAGGATGGGGGAGAAGGTGTCCCCCACTTCTGTGGTGCTGCTGCAGGAGCTGGAGAGATTCAACCGACTCATAGGACGCATGCACAGCTCTCTGAGGGAACTGCACCGGGTGAGACACACACACGCACACACACTACACTACACGCACACACATACACCTACACACACACACGCACACACACTACACTACACACACACACATACACCTACACACACACACGCACACACACTACACTACACTACACTACACTACACTAGACACATACACACACACACACTACACTACACACATACACACACACACACACACTACACTACAGACACACTACACTTCACTACACACACACTAACCTACACCACACCAGTGTTGGGCACGTTACTTTGAAAAAGTAATTAGTTATAGTTACTAGTTACTTCTCCCAAAAAGTAACTGAGTTACTAACGGAGTTACTCGACTATAAAAGTAACTAGTTACCAGTAAAAGTAACTATTGCGTTACTTTTTTGTTTTTTTCTGGAACATAATGTGCACTCGAGGTGCACATGTTGACCTTTAACCTCAGTGAGTCTGAAATATTGCCAATATTTCCATCTAGAAAAGTCTGTTTTTCTGCTGAAGTCCTGTTCACTCTCCATCTCTCTCTGTGCTGTAAGCACTAAACACAACACGCTCCACTGTGAATGTGGAAACACCGGTGAAGCACTGACTTCAGCCCAATCAGATGAACATATACAGTGCCCCCTTGATATTATATTCGGCCCCCTTGAACCTTTCAACATTTCGCCACATTTCAGGCTTCAAACATAAAGATATAAAAATTTATTTTTTTTGTCAAGAATGAACAACAAGTGGGACACAATCGTGAAGTGGAACCAAATTTATAGGATTATTTAAACTTTTTTAATAAATAAAAAACTGAAAAGTGGGGCGTGCAATATTATTCGGCCCCTTGCGCTAATACTTTGTAGCGCCACCTTTTGCTGCAATTACAGCTGCAAGTCGCTTGGGGTATGTCTCTATCAGATTCTCGATTGGATTCAGGTCTGGACTTTGACTTTGCCATTCTAACACCTGGATACGTCTATTTGTGAACCATTCCATTGTAGATTTGGCTTTATGTTTTGGATCATTGTCCTGTTGGAAGATAAATCTCCGTCCCAGTCTCAGGTCTTTTGCAGACTCCAACAGGTTTTCTTCCAGAATGGTCCTGTATTTGGCTCCATCCATCTTCCCATCAATTTTAGCCATCTTCCCTGTCCCTGCTGAAGAAAAGCAGGCCCAAAGCATGATGCTGCCACCACCATGTTTGACAGTGGGGATGGTGTGTTCAGGGTGATGAGCTGTGTTGCTTTTACGCCAAACATATGGTTTTGCATTGTGGCCAAAAAGTTTGATTTTGGTTTCATCTGACCAGAGCACCTTCTTCCACATGTTTGGTGTGTCTCCCAGGTGGCTTGTGGCAAACTTTAAACCAGACTTTTTATGGATATCTTTGAGAAATGGCTTTCTTCTTGCCACTCTTCCATAAAGGCCAGATTTGTGCAGTGCACGACTGATTGTTGTCCTATGGACAGACTCTCCCACCTCAGCTGTAGTTATCTGCAGTTCATCCAGAGTGATCATGGGCCTCTTGGCTACATCTCTGATCAGTCTTCTCCTTGTTTGAGATGAAAGTTTGGAGGGACGGCCGGGTCTGATACTCCTTCCATTTCAATATAACTGCTTGCACAGTGCTCCTTGAGATGTTTAAAGCTTGGGAAATCTTTTTGTATCCAAATCCGGCTTTAAACTTCTCCACAACAGTATCTCGGACCTGCCTGGTGTGTTCCTTTGTCTTCATGGTTCTCTCTGTGCTTTAAACAGAACCCTGAGACTATCAAAGAGCAGGTGCATTTATACGGAGACTTGATTACACACAGGTGCATTCTATTTATCATCATCAGTCATTTAGGACAACATTGGATCATTCAAAGATCCTCACTGAACTTCTGGAGTGAGTTTGCTGCACTGAAAGTAAAGGGGCCCAATAATATTGCACACCCCACTTTTCAGTTTTTTAATTGTTAAAAAAGTTTAAATCATCCAATAAATTTGGTTCCACTTCACGATTGTGTCCCACTTGTTGTTGATTCATGACAAAAAATAATTTTTTTATATCTTTATGTTTGAGCCTGAAATGTGGCAAAATGTTGAAAGGTTCAAGGGGGCCAAATACTTTCGCAAGGCACTGTATAGCATATAAATCAACTGGACCAAGAGAGTGGCTTATTCAGTTTTTTTGGCTACAGCAGAATATGTTTCATGCATTGTTTGTTCATACAAAACGCAAAACTATGAGTTATGGGTCTTACCTTATAAATGACCTGCACAGCCCACTTCGGTTCAGACCAGTTCCGTGTTTAAGTCCAGATAATAGTTTGAGCGTAGATATGTAATCCTCAATTTGGAAATGAGTCCAATGAGTTTTAAAAAGTAAAACAAAATGCGTGTGTGCTCCATAAACTCCTCTGTTTTGCTGCAGCCGGGTGCATCCAATTTTTAAAATCAACCGTCTTACATTTCACCTCTCTTTCTTATCATTCCTATAGTCATTGAAAAATTACCCTAAGTGCATTTTAAATGAACTTAAAATGTGTTATATGTATGTTAGCTAAACCTGTTGCTGTCCTTAGCAGATAAACCAGGAAGAGAAAGGAGCTTTTCTATGGAATTGTATGTAGCCGACTTCTGCGCTCACATGAGCTCCTCTGAGGCTGACCTCACGGTGATACAAGCCGTGGTTGAGCGCGATTAAGACTCATATTTGTTTCAAAAACACAGTTTATGACCATCCTCTCAACTGTAGACATGTGGATTGTAAAGGAAATATGTTTTACATCAGCCAATAATTGCTGAGAGGTTTTCTCATCCTCCCTTCTCTCAAGACAACAGGATCCTATCATGAAGTAAAAAAAGTTAATTGTGAGACTTGAGTAACGCGCAGTAATGGGATGTCGGAAATGATAACGGCGTTAAAGTTACAGTCAAAGTAATTAGTTAGATTACTTGTTACTGAAAAAAGTAACACTACACTACACTACACACACACTACACTACACTACGCTACACACAATAACAATGTGTAGTTCAAATTTAATTTGGCTTTGATAAATGTCTGCATCTAATGTTACAGCTCATATCCTGCCAGTGCGAGTTGGAGCTAAACTTTATCCATGAGCATTTTCCCTCATTGTGTTTCATTGAGCTACAATACAATACAATATAATGTATTCTTGTATAGCCCTAGGTCACAACAGAGGTCATCTCAGAGACTTAACAAAACCATTGAAATCACCAACACAGGTCAGAGAATCAACAGTTAAAACACATGAAGAATATAAAGCACACACAGAAGAAAATATCCATACATGTTGTAGAATGCTAAAGTGTCCTGATCATCACCAATCCTTTCTGTTGGACACTAACTGTCCAACAAGACCCTCCTGCATCCACAAGGAACAACTCTTAAAAAAGTTGACTTAAAAGAGCTATGGGGTTAGCATTATCCATCTGTATACAGTCAATGATACACACTCACTATGACTGATACACACACATTACATTACAATACGTTGGTTTGAAAATTAGGTTCCCAGTCTTAATCTTTTGAGGTACTAAATAAATGTGTTAGTAATACATGTGTTGTTAGTAATACATGTGTTAGTACAGCTGTTATCATGGGTGCGGAGGCTTCAGGTTAGTGTCCAGTGTCTTTTCACACATGGCCGGGTGTGCAGGCGCTGGCCGGAGAGGTGGGCATGAGCAGTGAGCTGGACAACATCGCCCGAGCTCTGTTCAACGGCCACATCCCGGCGCTCTGGAGGAGACTGGCCCCGGACACTCTCATGTCACTGGGAAACTGGATGAGCCACTTCAGGAGGAGACACGAGCAGTATCACACCTGGGTGAGCCACACGCAAACATCTGTCTCAGGACCATTCAGCCGCTGTATGTCAGAGCATCACAGAAGACTAAAATGAAGAGATCCTTTGTTTGTCTTGTCGAGGGGAATTTCAGTGTTGCATCAGCAGTTACAGAACAGTAGGAATGAGGGGCACACTCTACACACACTCTTGGGAAAAATAAAGAAGCAAGCATACAATCTCTATACTTACTTTATTATGCTAAAGTTAAAGTCCCTAACTTTAGCTAAGAAGCAAGTATAAAGTATTGTATATTCTAGTGCAAGAAATATATAGTATTCAATTCAATTCAATTTATTCTTGTATTTCCCTGTAGTTCTCAGAGGACTTAAAAGAACCGTTGAAATCACCAACACAGATCAGAGAATCAACAGTTAAGACACAAAAACACACATGTTTTGTTCCATAGGGAGAGACCAATGTCCATGAATGTTGATAAATGTCATACATGTTGCAGAATGTAGAGTGTCCTGGATCATCACAGTCCTTCTTGTTAGTCGTAGCAGTTGTATGTTTACATCTGTACTTGTTAGCAGCATTAAGGTCTGGGACACAGTGACTCAGTAAAGAGACAGTGGACACATGTGGTTCTATATTGTACATTCTGACATTGTTATCGCACAGATAAGTAAAGTGACAGTGGACAGTGTTTTTATTTTCACATTGTTCCAGAATGTGTGATACGAAACCACATGTGATCACAGAGCAGAGGAACACAGAGAATGTTGAACCAGACTTTATTCATGTCGCTTTTGAAGCCGACTAGTTCAGGAGGTTTGGGTCACGCACTCAAAAGTGAAAAAACCAACCGTGTAATCAAATTCAATTTAATTGAAAGAGAATGAGGTACAAGCTACTGCTCAAGGCCAGACCGACTCCGATGTATGGGTCGAATCGTTTCTGCTATTGATGAATAAACAAATCAAGTGTATAACATTAAGTGTATTATCTGTGTGTGTGTGTTTGTAGTTGCAGCAGGAGCCCGCTGTCATGTGGCTCTCAGGGCTCCACATCCCAGAGTCGTACCTCACAGCTCTGGTGCAGACGGCCTGCAGGAAGAACGGCTGGCCCCTGGACCAGTCCACTCTGTACACACAGGTGACCACCTACTGCAGCGAGGAGGAGGTGCAGGACCGTCCCACGCAGGGTAAGCACACACCCAAACCCGTCTGCTCAGGCTGAATGCAAAACACCGCTTCTTCACCGCAAAAACAGTACAGGTTTCTAAGGCAACATTAGCACAAATTTACACTTTTCTGTCTGAAAGGGCTGATCTAAAGACAGGTCAAAAACTGTAAAACTGTGACAGAACAACCACCACTTTAATTATATATTCGTCTGGAACCTTCACCTTGCAAACGTGTGTGCGTGTGTGTGTGTGGGTGCGCGTGTGTGTGGGTGTGTGTTTTTCAGGCTGCTTTGTCAGTGGCCTGTACTTGGAGGGGGCAGAGTGGGACATGGAGCAGAACTGTCTGGTGCGGAGCAGACCCAAAGTCCTGGTGTCGGAGTTGCCCATTCTCCGCATCATCCCCATCGAGTCCCACCGCCTCAGGCTGCAGGTGACATCACATCCACAACACACCATCCAATAATGTCAGCACCTTCTGACACAAACAGACCCCTCCCTTCATTCCAAATACTCACATTTCAAACTTTTATGCTCTGACAATCACTATTTTTACAGAATAATGATTGACAGATCATTTTTCTGGCTTTTAAAAACAAAGGTTTGGCGTCAATAAGTGATTTGTGACGAACAAGTATGTGTTATGAAAGGATTATGTCTGAAAGCTGAGTCAATGTTTAGCAAAGATACGCATGGATCATATTTTGGGCTGATGAGCGCCTGGCTGTGCGTGAGCGTGCGTTATGCAATTCCAGGCTTCTACCACGGGCACGTCTCTGAAATCACCCCACACTCTACTTGCTGCGTGAGGCTTTCCGCTTCAAAAGACACGTGTTGTGTCAGGGTTAGGGTTAGCCTGGACCTGTCATACTTGGTACGGCCCACTTTGACCTTGTTCAGTGCTGGTGTGATACTACCGTATTTTTCGCACTATCAGGCGGACATAAAAGCGTACCGAGCCGCTGGTGAGAGCACTTCACAATTAATAACATACAGTAAATATAGTACACATAAAAGTCAGTTTCATCAAATTGAAAGTACAGAATAATCATAAACACTTCAGATGAAGGCTCATGTACAATGAGGCGAGGAATCCTGCCTAAGCAAACAGGTTTAAGTTGCAACTTAAGATTGTCCAATATTGTTGGTGGGGATTGAATTAAAATAAGCTTTAGACAGGGAAAAATATGATTAATGGCGAGTTAACGGTGACATGTGATTAGTTTGACAGCACTGGTTTGTAACTCTCTCCGTATGGCGTGCTGCAGGGGACCCTGCGGACTCCGGTCTACACGACGTCGGAGCGCCGGAACGCCATGGGGGTGGGGCTGGTGTTTGAGGCAGACCTGAGCACCAAGAGCCACTTGTCCTTCTGGATTCTGCCTGGAGTCTGTCTGCTGCTCAACTCAGACTGAGGTCACACTCTGCTTTCACTCTGTTTGTATTGTTCTTTGGATGAGTTTGGATCTTCACTCATGATTTCTGAGGCCTCTTCAAAATAGAACAGTTTCTACGTCAATAAAGCAGCTGTTTGTACATTTCTTTATATTTTTCTTGTTTTATTAAAATTTCCAAAACTGATTCAGGATCCATTTTATTTTCCATTTGCAGTAAAACTAAATTGGAACCTGAGCAGGAGTCACTTGCACACCTCATTAGGAAGATGCTGAAATCATCAACGTTTTGCACAATTTACCAGAAACTGATTTGACAGATTCAAATTCATTCAGAAACTGTAAGTGTCTTACATTTCTGTGTACATTAGCAGAGTGTTGGGTCTATCATGATTGTTGCTAAATAACATCCTAAGTGTATCGTAATATCTACAACCAGGAAGGCTAATTGTTGATAGTTTGAAATATTTAAATAGAAATAAGTTCCAACTTTAATTTAGTACAAAGTAACTCGTCCAGTGCTGGTCCCAGCCTCAGAATCCTTCACCTCCATCTTTCCCTCCTCGTAACTCAAAGCTTGTACAAATAAACGATTTCAGAAGGATCACAAAAGCATTTATTTTGTATCAATGAGATTAGACAGTAGTGAGACCACAGCAGGGCCCTTTCTGATAGAAACAGAGGCACTTGTTTAAAAGGCAGCCTCACGTCACACGCAGCAGCTTCAGTCTGTCACAGAAAACCAACATGACCAGGCCTTGGAATGTGTGAGATCCTTTAAAAAGGTTCAACATGAAAGTACAAGAGTGGTATTTAACTCACTCCAACAGTGATCTGATACAAGTACAGCTGATGTAAAGCTGGGGGACCTAACTCTCTCCATAAACACTACACTTCATGTTTGCAGAAAGCAGAAGAGAAAGGAACAGTCCTGTGAACATATAAGATATCTAGAGTTAGATGCTTTAATGTCATGTGCTCCTGGAGCCGATTTTAAAATAATGTACTGACTCTCAACAGAATGTTTTAAATGTTTGGAAGAAGAAAAGCACTACTGCGCTGGACAAGTGGCAGTTACTGAGAGTTAAGTGCAACTAGAGACGCCAAAATCCTGTTAAACGACATTACATTTTTGTACAGCGTTAGTCTTAATCAAACACGGCGTGAAACTCTTCTTCTTCGCATCATGTAGTATTTTAGAATAAGTCAGGCCTCCCTCACAGCTTGGCACGTCCCGGCTGCAGCTGGAGGCTCTGGAGCTTCATGGCCATCCCCATGTTCCCAGTGATCTTCAGCTTTCCCTGGAAGAAGGCCTGAAACCATGACAACGGCATGAGTGACAGCTGATCATTATTGACTTTAGCTTCTTCTCATTATTCGGACACAGGTTTATTAAAGACCAGGCTCTTTGCTTTTGCTCCTTTGGCCTCAACACAAAATCAAATGTGTCATATAATAATAGATACATATACTTAACTATATTATCTAGTATTTACAAGAGGCTGACGGAGAGTTCTAAAACCTCAAGAGTCCCACAGATGCGAAGAACCAACATGTTTTAGTGACAGAAACGTGTTTGATATTGTTCTGCAGAAATCAGTGCGTTTCATTTAGAGTCAGGATTCCAGCTTAAAGTTAACTTTAACTCTTTAACAAACGACGTTAAAGCAGCTCCGTGTTGTGACGTTTGAGCAATGGAACGCAAAGATCTCTATCGTCTCATTTTACACAGATGTCATTCAGATCAAAACAGGAGATTCTTTTATCGCTAACAAGTTCAAAAATGTTCATCCGTGCACTTAGTTGAATCCAAGTTCCACCAAACAAATCTGGAACGTTTATTTATATAGCGCCTTTCACAGACCAGAGTCACAAGCACTTTACATTTGTCTTTACCTCCTCACAGAGATTAGACAGTAATATGCAAATTAGATGACCAATCAACTTCCATCCCAGATTTTGGTTCATACTGAAGATATTTATGTGTGTTTGTGTATGTTTGTGTGTGCTCCAGAACAGTGTTCAGGGTTTTACGCTGATGCAGAGAAAGGCCCAAACAGTAGAACTCCAGAGGAATAATGCACTAGCATGCTAATACAGCAGGGTCTCTCAATGAAGCGAGCAGCCGCATAAATCCAGCAGAGAAAAGGCCTCAGGATGTATTCTATTCTATTATTATAATATATTATAAAACATATGATATCATTAATGCAACTGTAAACGTGAACGGTTCATGGTTCTGTTGGGCGGTCGGGGGGAGGGCATGGGCAGGATTGTTTTTTAGCCAAACTGTAAAGCACTTTGTGTTGCATCTGTTGTATGAAAAGCGCTTTATAAATAAACTTTGATTGATTGATTGAGATGTTTGGGTCAGATGTGTTCTAGTGCTGAGCTTTAGGAGCACAGGGTCCAGTCCAGGGTCCAGTCCAGGGTCAGTCCAGGGTCCAGTCCAGGGTCCAGTCCAGGGTCCAGTCCAGGGTCAGTCCAGGGTCCAGTCCAGGGTCCAGTCCAGGGTCAGTCCAGGGTCCAGTCCAGGGTCCAGTCCAGGGTCCAGTCCAGGGTCCAGTCCAGGGTCCAGTCCAGGGTCCAGTCCAGGGTCAGTCCAGGGTCAGTCCAGGGTCCAGTCCAGGGTCCAGTCCAGGGTCAGTCCAGGGTGGGTGACTGACCGTCTGTGGGTTCATCTTCCCCGTGAGCAGACTCAGCAGGTCGGAGTCAGACATGGTGATGGTGCAGTCGGCTTTCTCCGCTGGAGACAAGAGGAAACTGGAATCAAACCTGGTTTTATTTACACGGCCAAAAGGAAAAGCCATTTTTATAGAAAGATAAATATAAAAATGTAACGTTAATAAAATCAGCCTCAAGAGTTGGCTGAGAGGACCGAGAGAGAACCGAGAGAGGACCGAGAGAGGACCGAGAGGACCGAGAGAGGACCGAGAGAGGACCGAGAGAGGACCGAGACAGGACCGAGAGAGGACCGAGAGAGGTCCGAGAGAGGACCGAGAGAGGACCGAGAGAGGTCCGAGAGAGGACCGAGAGAGGACCGAGAGGACCGAGAGAGGACCGAGAGGACCGAGAGGACCGAGAGAGGACCGAGAGGACCGAGAGAGGACCGAGAGAGGACCGAGACAGGACCGAGACAGGACCGAGAGAGGACCGAGACAGGACCGAGAGAGGACCGAGAGAGGACCGAGAGAGGACCGAGAGAGGACCGAGAGAGGACCGAGAGGACCGAGACAGGACCGAGAGAGGACCGAGAGAGGTCCGAGAGAGGACCGAGAGGACCGAGAGAGGACCGAGAGAGGACCGAGAGAGGACCGAGAGAGGACCGAGAGAGGACCGAGAGAGGACAGAGAGGACAGAGAGAGGACCGAGAGAGGACCGAGAGAGGTCCGAGAGGACCGAGAGAGGTCCGAGAGGACCGAGAGGACCGAGAGAGGACCGAGAGAGGACCGAGAGAGGACTGAGAGGACCGAGAGAGGACCGAGAGAGGACCGAGAGAGGACCGAGAGAGGACCGAGAGAGGACCGAGAGAGGACCGAGAGAGGACCGAGAGGACCGAGAGGACCGAGAGAGGACCGAGAGAGGACCGAGAGAGGACTGAGCTGATCTCCAAATGCAACAAATATAACGTTTCTTTACTAAATATGGACCAAAAATATTTACGTGTGTGTGTGTCCTGTAACGTTTGTGTGTGTTTCTGATCCGTGTGTGTGTCCTGTAACGTTTGTGTGTGTTTCTGATCTGTGTGTGTGTCCGGTAACGTTTGTGTGTGTCCTGTAACGTTTGTGTGTGTTTCTGATCCGTGTGTGTGTCCTGTAACGTGTGTGTGTGTCCTGTAACGTTTGTGTGTGTTTCTGATCCGTGTGTGTGTGTCCTGTAACGTTTGTGTGTTTCTGATCCGTGTGTGTGTCCTGTAACGTATGTGTGTGTCCTGTAACGTTTGTGTGTGTTTCTGATCCATGTGTGTGTCCTGTAACGTGTGTGTGTGTGTCCTGTAACGTTTGTGTGTGTTTCTGATCCATGTGTGTGTCCTGTAACATGTGAGTGTTCTGTAACATGTGAGTGTTCTGTAACATGTGAGTGTTCTGTAACATGTGTGTGTGTGTGTTTCTGACCCGTGTTGTTGTGTACTTTGCCTTTGCCGTTCTTCACGTCCACGTACCACGTCGCCTCTCGTGCCTCTGGACCGTCCCGCACTCTGAAGGCAAACACTCCTCCGATCTTCTTCACAAACTGCTCCCCCTCCTGGACACATGCAGAACAGCAGAGGGAGGGAGCGAGATAGAGATCAGAGAGAGAGAGAGAAGCAGGCAGAGATAGAGAGAGATCAGAGAGAGAGAAGCAGGCAGAGAGAGAGAGAGATCAGAGAGAGAGAAGCAGGCAGAGAGAGAGAAGCAGGCAGAGAGAGAGAGAGAGATCAGAGAGAGAGAAGCAGGCAGAGAGAGAGAGAGATCAGAGAGAGAGAAGCAGGCAGAGAGAGAGAGAGATCAGAGAGAGAGAAGCAGGCAGAGAGAGAGAGAAGCAGGCAGAGAGAGAGAGAGAGATCAGAGAGAGAGAAGCAGGCAGAGAGAGAGAAGCAGGCAGAGAGAGAGAGAGAGAAGCAGGCAGAGAGAGAGAAGCAGGCAGAGAGAGAGAGAGATCAGAGAGAGAGAAGCAGGCAGAGAGAAGCAGGCAGAGAGAGAGAGAGAGAGATCAGAGAGAGAGAAGCAGGCAGAGAGAGAGAGAGATCAGAGAGAGAGAAGCAGGCAGAGAGAGAGAGAGAGAGAGATCAGAGAGAGAGAGAGAGAAGCAGGCAGAGATAGAGAGAGATCAGAGAGAGAAGCAGGCAGAGAGAGAGAGAGAGATCAGAGAGAGAGAGAGAAGCAGGCAGAGATAGAGAGAGATCAGAGAGAGAGAAGCAGGCAGAGAGAGAGAGAGAGAGAGAAGCAGGCAGAGAGAGAGAGAGAGAGATCAGAGAGAGAGAGAGAGAAGCAGGCAGAGATAGAGAGAGATCAGAGAGAGAGAAGCAGGCAGAGAGAGAGAGAAGCAGGCAGAGAGAGAGAGAGATCAGAGAGAGAGAGAGAAGCAGGCAGAGAGAGAGAGATCAGAGAGAGAGAAGCAGGCAGAGAGAGAGAGAGATCAGAGAGAGAGAGAGATCAAAGAGAGAAGCAGGCAGAGAGAGAGAGAGATCAGAGAGAGAGAGAGAAGCAGGCAGAGAGAGAGAGAGATCAGAGAGAGAGAGAGAAGCAGGCAGAGAGAGAGAGATCAGAGAGAGAGAGATCAGAGAGAGAGAAGCAGGCAGAGAGAGAGAGAGAGAGATCAAAGAGAGAAGCAGGCAGAGAGAGAGAGAGATCAGAGAGAGAGAGAGATCAGAGAGAGAGAGAGATCAAAGAGAGAAGCAGGCAGAGAGAGAGAGAGATCAGAGAGAGAGAGAGATCAAAGAGAGAAGCAGGCAGAGAGAGAGAGAGAGAGAGAGAGAGAAGGGTGAGCCTCCTCATGTGCAGTCAGAGTAAATGTACTTTTAGGAGTAACTGTACTGGACTCAAAATGATCCAACTACCATTGTATAAAAAAAATAACATCTAAGCAGATATAAATACAACAACAAACTTTGAAAATAAATGTTCGTTTTTCCAGTAAAAATACTTTTATCTAACAGTAATTATTCGACTTAAGACCAAGAAGCTACTGCCTCCTGTGAACCTGGTTCTGGTCCTGGTCCTGGTCCTGGTCCTGGTCCTGGACTCAGACTGACCTCCTCCAGTTTCTTCTGGATCTCCTGGAAAACTGCGTAAGCTTTGAACCCCTCCAGGTCTGAGCTGGCACTGACGGGGGCCGCAGCAATCCTGTGTACACACACACACACACACGGACACACAAAGACACACACACGGACACACACACACACTTTTACAAGACTCACCCTGTTATAAACTACACGTTTTATTTAATAATGCAACAGTCTACAGCACTTTTTAGAACTCAAAGGGTCTTCACATCATTATTCTTTCTCTCCAAACACGGTGGTGATAAACTACTACTATAGCCACAGCTGCCCTGGGGCACACTGAAGAGAGGCAACCAGTCTGTGCCATCGGCCCCTCCCACCACCACGAACCATTCACACACACACCAGACTCCTTCTAATGTGGGGGAAGTGTCTTGCCTAAGGACACAACCACAGTTTGGCACTTTGCAGCCGCCCCACTTTGGCACCTGGTGTTCCCAGAGGTCCCCATCACAGAATTAACCAGGCCCTGCACTACTTAGCTTCAGAGGTCTGACAGTATCTGGTTTTCACCTGCAGCTATGGTCACATATTTATGAAACAAAATAGAAGTTAGGTACCTCAGCTTTAACAGAATAATTGCTCAGGGCAAAGGCAGCTTTCTTCTTTTTCCAGAGACATATTTGTTACTTCAGCTGCAGAGTCACGTGGGAGTAAAGCGGTTATGTGTCAGATAAACTAGTTTGTACTGAGTTACAAAATCCTGAAGGTGAACTTTGGAACCGCTGCAGACCGCAGTCTGTCCCCTGGACCCCCGTCCCCTGGACCCCCGTCCCCCGGAGCCCCGTCCCCCGGAGCTCACCTGTGCGGAGCAGCGGGCATGGTGCTGGCCTCTCTGGTCTGGTCTAAAGTCTGGTTCTGGTCAGACTGTAAATATTAAGACCGTGACCGACGCCTCATCTGCAACTGTGCGCTCACTTCCGGGTTCCGCCGATGTCACGTGATCAGCGCGCATCGTTTACTTTCTTTATTATTTTTTATCAAATGTGTGGTTATTATTGATGTTTTTTCATGTTCTCTTTTTCATGAATGGATATGTAAACTGTGAAAAAAACAAAAATCAAAGCAATGAAAATTACAGTGTAAAACTACACTGTTAAAGAGGACTATAATAAGTTAAAATAATATCTGTAAAACCAACCACTGCAGCTCCAGCCATGACTGAAGCTTTATAAATACTACAGCTGCGCATCAGTAAGACACCAACCAAAGACCAAACCATGAGAACCAGTGGTTAAACTGTGGTTCTGGGACCGGGAACTCCAGACATTAATTTTATGAGTTCCATTTTTAAATGATGTCCCCCAAATGTTTCCCAGTCTCATCACACATACGCTTTTCTAAAGGTGACCAAGAGAATCTGAAATGAAAGAGTCTGAACCACAGCTGGAAGCAGAAGTGCACTTTATTACATTTGACAGAAGAAAGTGGGACCAGCGTCATGTATCAAATATAGATCAGATCTGTCTCCGTCACATACGGTCCGAGACATACGGTCCGAGACATACGGTCCGAGACATACGGTCCGAGACATACGGTCCGAGACATACGGTCCGGGACATACGGTCCGGGACACACGGTCCGGGACACGGTCCGAGACACGGTGAGGCCAGTGTCTGTTTTGTTTGGAAGCTTCTCCACAATCGTATTTGATTGTAACGTCACCATATGACCGATTCAGTCAGACCTAAGGCGGCAGCCGTCCTCTGCTCCATGAGATCCGCATGTCTGTGTGCGTGTGTCTGTCTGCGTGTGTCTGTCTGCGTGTGTCTGTCTGCGTGTGTCTGTCTGCGTGTGTCTGTCTGCGTGTGTCTGTCTGCGTGTGTCTGTCTGCGTGTGTCTGTCTGCGTGTGTCTGTGCGCGTGTGTCTGTGTGCGTGTGTCTGTCTGCGTGTGTCTGTCTGCGTGTGTCTGTCTGCGTGTGTCTGTGCGCGTGTGTCTGTGCGCGTGTGTCTGTGCGGTGTGTCTGTCTGCGTGTGTCTGTCTGCGTGTCTGTGCGGTGTCTGTGCGCGTTGTGTCTGTGCGCGTGTGTCTGTCTGCGTGTGTCTGTGCTGCGTGTGTCTGTGCGCGTGTGTCTTGCGTGTGTCTGTCTGCGTGTGTCTGTCTGCGTGTGTCTGTCTGCGTGTGTCTGTCTGCGTTGTCTGTCTGCGTGTGTCTGTGCGCGTGTCTGTGCGCGTGTGTCTGTGCGCGTGTGTGTCTGTCTGCGCGTGTCTGTGCGCGTGTGTCTGTGCGCGTGTGTCTGTCTGCGTGTGTCTGTGCGCGTGTGTCTGTGCGCGTGTGTCTGTGCGCGTGTGTCTGTGCGCGTGTGTGTGTGCGTGTGTGTCTGTGTGCGTGTGTCTGTCTGCGTGTGTCTGTGTGCGTGTGTGTCTGTGTGCGTGTGTCTGTGTGCGTGTGTCTGTGCGCGTGTGTGTGTGCGTGTGTGTCTGTGTGCGTGTGTCTGTGTGCGTGTGTCTGTGTGCGTGTGTCTGTGTGCGTGTGTCTGTGTGCATGTGTCTGTGTGCGTGTGTCTGTGTGCGTGTGTCTGTGTGCGTGTGTCTGTGTGCATTCTCACAAACCACTGTGCAGAGTTAAACACCAGGATCACATTCACAAAAACATGAAATAATGTTGAAGAAACAGTCGTGTCACACTTTGAACCAAACTAAACGAACTGCTTTTATAACAAAAAAAAATTATTTGATGCTTGGCTTCATTTTTCATCAATAACATTTTATCAATGAAAGATTCAATTGAACGTTCATAAAACTGATAAATACAACTTTCAACTCACAGTCAAAGGCAACAACAGTGAGTCTGGACCAAACTGGACTGGGTTATTTGGACAAACAAGAATCACATTTAACTTCAGTCTGACTGAAGGATGACTGCCACGGGGGCAGTCTGACTGAAGGATGGCTGCCACGGGGGCAGTCTGACTGAAGGATGGCTGCCACGGGGGCAGTCTGACTGAAGGATGTGCGGGGAGAGCCTGAGGGCCTCATTTGTGCTTGTGGGGTCTGGGGCCCGGGGGCCTCACTGCAGGGTCTGGTAGAGGTACCCTCTGCGATAGGCCCTCAGGGGGTAGAACGTGGCCACCACAAACCTCCCGTCGAAGGTACGTCCCGTCAGCAGTTTCTGGGCTTCTTTGGCGTCGCTGGAGCTGGAGTACTCCACAAACACCTGCCACAGACACAGAGTCACAGACACAGAGTCAGAGACACAGAATCACAGACACAGAGTCAGAGACACAGAATCACAGACACAGAGTCACAGACACAGACACAGAGTCACAGACACAGAGTCACAGACACAGAGTCACAGACACAGAGTCACAGACACAGACACAGAGTCACAGACACAGAGTCACAGACACAGAGTCACAGACACAGAGTCACAGACACAGAGTCACAGACACAGAGTCACAGACACAGAGTCACAGACACAGAGTCACAGACACAGAGTCACAGACACAGAGTCACAGAACGGCTCCAAGTGCTTTTATCATTGCATGTGTTTGATTCTCTGATCTGTTGTCGGCGAATCAACGGTTTTGTAAAGTCCTCCGAGATAACTACTGTTGTAATCTAGGACGATACAAGAATAAATTGAAGACTACGTTGGAACCGTTAAGGCGCGTTCAGACCAAAAGCTTCAAAAAGCTTTTGACGCGCTTCAACTGACGCCGGGATAGTTTTGTCATTTTGGTGCTTGAAGCTTTTGACGCGAGTGACGCGCCTGACGCCGGTGGGAGGAGCTTCTCTGTTGTCTGTAGTCAGGACAGCGGTGGATTTTTCAATGAGCAGCGAGCCTTTATTTGTTATATAAAGCAAAATAACGTTGTTGTAGGGCTTCAACAAAACATGTTCTGGGTTCACCACAGACTTGAGAGGCTGCAGTGTTTGCAGAGTTCCGTCATTTACTCCAGGAGCTGCGTACGGAGGAGTCTCGCTTTCAGCGGTACTTCCGCATGTCACTCGCCCGGTTTGAGTTCTCAAACCCCGGAGCTAGCCTCTCCCCGCCTCGCTCTCGCCTCTCCCTGCCTCTCCCTGCCTCTCCCTGCCTCTCGCCCGCCCGGAGCTGCCTTGTTCTGAGCCAGACTCATCGTCAGCATGTTCTTATTTTAAATAAACTACGTTTACTACACAGCATGTGTACAATGATTTTGTTACTCAGAATGTTACTACTCATACAAATAATATTACTAATAACAATAAAACACCAGCAGCTACATGACTTCTCTTCATGACAGAGACAAACCCTCTGCTGCTGCTGCTGCTGCTCCTCGTCTCCTGATTGGTTGAAGCCCGCGTCAAAGCTTCAAAAGCTCAGCTTTGCTCAGCTTCGGCGTCAAAGGGATTGTTGTGATACGCGAGCGTTTCGCGCGTCAAAAGCTTCAAGTGAGCGCGTAGTACGCGCGACTCTTGAAGCTTTTGACGCGCGTCAAGTGACGCCGGGGCTCTCGGCTTCACCTGACGCGCTTCACCATTCACTTTCAATGCAAACCTGACGCTTTTGACGCCGAAGTTAAGTCCGGTGTGAACGCCCCTTTACAGCAGAGGTTCTGTAGGGTCTGACACAGGCTGCAGTTCCAGCCTGAGCCTGCAGAGGGGGCTGACCTGTCCTTTTCCTGGGTTCTCTTTGGGGATGAGCAGTGACACCACAGAGCCGTACTTCTGACACTCCTCCTTCATGTCCTCCAGGATGTCTACAACACACACACACACACGCACACACGCACACACACGCACACACATACACATAAAGTCATATTTATCTATATAGCACCTTTCACAGACCAGAGTCACAAAGCGCTTTACCATTGTGGGAATTTGTCTCCTACTACAAGCGTGTGTGTGTGTGTGTGTGCGTGTGTGCGCGTGCGTGCGTGCATGTGTCATAGACTGTAAATATCAACAGATGTAGTAACGTCTCCACCGTTTAAATTAATGTGACATCACTTTTGCCTTCTGTGGCTTTTAAAAATGGCCGCGGGGGCTGGAAAATGTGACAATCTTTTAACAAACGCATTCAGAAGTCCACAACGACTAAACTAGACTGATCCAAAAACATATACAGCATCTGGAACCAAGAGGACCAAGAACCACTTTAGGACCGAGAACCAGGACCGAGAACCACTTTAGGACCGAGAACCACTTTAGGACCGAGAACCACTTTAGGACCGAGAACCACTTTAGGGCCGAGAACCACTTTTGGACCGAGAACCACTTTTGGACCGAGAATCACTTTTGGACCGAGAACCACTTTTGGACCAAGAATCACTTTTGGACCAAGAATCACTTTTGGACCAAGAATCACTTTGAGACCAAGAGCCACTTTTGGACCGAGACCCACTTTTGGACCATAGCGTTGGTGTAAAATACCTTCGTACTCCTCCTCGTTGTGCAGGTGTTTGTCCTCGATCAGATTCAGGAGCCGCAGGACGGGAGACGGCAGCAACATCAGCTCCTCTATGTGTGGGGCTGGACACACAGACACACACACAGACACACACAGACACACACACACAGAGACATGCAAAAAAACCTGTTAAGGGCAAGGCTATATGTCTCCTTTTTTTTTTTTAAGTGTATTTGTTTAGTCGTGTAAATGAATGAATAAATAAAAGTATATAAAAAGCTGCACTCACCAAAGGGGACACTGAAGAAGGGGCTGAGCAGAGCTTTGTCTGCGCTGCATCTCTGCTGAGGACTCTTCACCAACATGCTGCACACACACACACACACATCAGCTGTAGACACACACACACAATAGCTGTAGACACACACACACATCAGCTGTAGACACACACACACATCAGCTGTAGACACACACACACAATAGCTGTAGACACACACACACATCAGCTGTAGAAACACACACACATCAGCTGTAGACACACACACAAACACGTTAGCTGTAGACACACACATACATACATCAGCTGTAGACACACACACACGCATGTGTGGTGCGCGTGTGTTTGCGTGCGTGTGTGTGTGGTGCGTGTGTGTGTGCGTGTGTGTTTGCGTGCGTGTGTGTGTGGTGCGTGTGTGTGTGGTGCGTGTGTGTGTGGTGCGTGTGTGTGTGGTGCGTGTGTGTGTGGTGCGTGTGTGTTTGCGTGCGTGTGTGTGTGTGGTGACATTAGAGTTGGCCTGGAGTTCACTAAGACCGTGGCGCACGCAGCTAGAGACAGAGCCGCTCCGTCACACTGTGTGAATGGGGCTTATATCAGCGTTATTAAGAGACCCTCCCTTTGACCGGTGAACGCTGTGTGACTTTATAAAGGGCGGGGGGACAGGTTAAGAAGTGTTCAAGAGTCCAACAGCAGAGGGGAAGAAACTGTTCTTGTGGCGGGAGGTTCTTGTCCTGATGGACCGCAGTCTCCTGCCTGAGGGGAGTGGTTGGAATAGTCCATGTGCAGGTGAGAGGGGAGTGGTTGGAATAGTCCATGTGCAGGGTGAGAGGGGTCGGCTGTGATACGACCAGCCCGGCCTCGAGCTCGGGCGACGTACAGGTCCTGCAGCGATGGAAGGCTGCGGCCGATCACTTCCTCTGCAGAGCGCACAATGCGCTGTAGTCTCTGTTTGTCCCTGACTGTGGCTCCAGCGAACCACACGGTGATGGAGGAGGTGATGGAGGAGGTGACGGAGGAGGTGAGGATGGACTCGATGATGGCCGTGTAGAACTGCACCAACATCTGTGCAGGCAGCTTGGCTTTCCTGAGCTGCCGCAGGAAGTACATCCTCTGCTGGGCCTTCTTGATGAGGGAGCTGATGGTCGGCTCCCACTTGAGGTCCTGGGTGATGGTGGTGCCCAGGAAACGGAAGGACTCCACAGAGGTGATGGGGGAGTCCATCACGGAGGGTGGGGGTGGGGGGACAGTGCTCTTCCTGAAGTCCACAATCATCTCCACTGTCTTCTGGGCGTTCAGCTCCAGGTTGTTACCACTGCACCAGGACACCAGCCGGTCCACCTCCCTCCTGTAGGCGGACTCATCGTTGTTGGAGATGAGTCCAATGAGGGTGGTGTCGTCCGCGAACTTGATCAGCTTCACGGAGTCGTGGCTGGAGGTGCAGTGGTTGGTGTACAGGGAGAAGAGCAGGGGAGAAAGAACACAGCCCTGTGGGGCTCCTGTATTTATAATCCGAGAGTCCGAGACATTCTTCCCCAGACGCACTCGCTGCTTCCTGTCCGTCAGGAAGTCAGTGATCCACCTGCAGGTGGAATCGGGCACGTTGAGCTGGGAGAGCTTGTCCTGGAGCAGGGATGGCAGGATTGTGTTGAAGGCAGAGCTGAAGTCCACGAACAGGACCCTGGCGTAGGTCCCCGGGGAGTCCAGGTGCTGTAGGATGTGGTGGAGGGCCAGCTTAATGGCGTCGTCTACAGATCTGTTGGCTCTGTAGGCGAACTGCAGGGGGTCCAGGAGGGGGGAGGTGAAGGACTTGAGATGGGAGAGGACCAGGCGTTCAAATGACTTCATGACGACAGACGTAAGTGCTACAGGTCTGTAGTCATTGAGTCCTGTGATCCTGGGCTTCTTCAGGACGGGGACAATGATGGAGGATTTGAAGCAGGCCGGGACATGGCAGGACTGCAGAGAGGAGTTGAAAATGTCAGTGAACACAGGAGTAAGCTCACTGGCGCAGTGTCTCAGAGTGGCCGGAGACACGTGGTCCGGGCCAGGAGCTTTGCGGGGGTGCAGCCTCAGGAAGAGTTGTTTAATCTCTTTAGCGGCTATTGTTAGGCTGGGGCTAGGGCTGATGGGTGGGTCGTTAGAGTAGTGGGGGGTGGGGGAGGGAGAGGTGTCAGGGGCAGCATCAAAGCGACTGAAAAATAAGTTCAGTTCGTCAGCTAGCTTGTGGTCGTCAGCACAGGGGGGGGCTTTGGGTTTGTAGTTGGTGATCTCCCGTAGGCCCCTCCAGACAGAAGCAGTATCGTTGTTACCAAACTGCTCCTGTAGTCGTTCTCTGTGCCGGGACTTGGCTGCTTTCAGTTCTTTCCTGAACTGATATTTAGCTGCTTTGTAGCCGCTGCGGTCCCCCTCCCTGAAAGCAGACTCCTTTGCTTTCCTGAGCTGCCGGAGTTTAGCAGTGAACCAGGGTTTGTCGTTGTTATAGATGACCCTGGTCCTTGTTGGAATGATGCTATCCTCGCAGAAGTGAATGTATGACGTCACAGTGTCCGTGTATTCATCCAAACTATCTGTGGCAGCTCTGAAAAGGTCCCAGTCTGTAGATTCCATGCATGCGCGCAGCTCTTCCACAGCTTCATCAGACCACACTTTGGAGCTCCTCACTGCAGGTTTCGAGAGCTTTAGTCCCTGTCTGTAAGCAGGAACCAGATGTATCATGGAGTGATGTAAGAAGCCGAGGGCTGGCTTGGGAACAGCGCGAAAAGCTCCGCGCACGGTGGTGTAACAGTGATCCAGAGTGTTCTCCTCTCTGGTCGGGCATTTGATAAACTGTCTGTATTTGGGTAATTCCTGGCTCAAGTTTCCCTTATTAAAATCCCCCAGGATAATAATCAGAGAGTCCGGGTATAAACGTTCCATACACAGTACTTGCTCTGCGTCCGCGCATGGCGGTATGTAAACAGAGGCAAGAATGAATGAAACTATTTCGCGAGGGGAGTAAAATGGTCTACAATGAATGAAAAGATATTCCAGAGCAGGAGAGCAGTGCTTGGAGATCACTGTCACATCGTTACACCAGTTTGTATTGACGTAGAAACACAGCCCTCCGCCTCTGCTCTTCCCTGAGAGCGCACAATGGCGATCCGTGTGGAACGGCCCAAAGCCCTGCAGCTCCAGAGCGCAGTCCGGGATCCGCTCATTTAGCCAGGTCTCAGTGAAGCAGAGGACACAGAAGACACCAGGTCTCAGTGAAGCAGAGGACACAGGACGAAGTCCTTGTTTCTTCTCATGAGCAGGCTGAGTTCGTCTTATTGCCCAGTGAGCGTACGTTGGAGAGAAAAATGCCGGGGAGAGGCTCCTCTCCTCCTCAGACGCACGAGCAGCCTCCGCGCTTTCCCCTTTTACGGGCCCACACTTTTTTGGCTAGAACATGGACTAAATCAGCCGCAGATGCCAAGAAAACAGGCAATAGGTCCATGGGGACGGTGGGTCGGATGTTCATAAGTTCCTCACGGGTGTAGGAACAGCCAGATGCACAGTTAAAAAGTAAAAACAAAAGAAAAAGAGAGCAGCAAAGAGCCATGTCGACCGTACGAGGCGCCATCTTTGTAAAGTGTCCAAGTGTATGAGAGTTTTAACAAACTCTCTCACCGTGCGGCTGCGATGCTAATGCTATGTTTTTAGCACTCAGGTATCTTGTCTTTACCTGGGTTAAACGGTCACCGATTTACATCCTGAGCATAAACCCACAACCTTCAGGCTCAAAGGCCAATGCTCTACCAACTGAACTATTGTCGCCCCAAAGACAGACACAGAGAAATGAAGCAACATGCTGTTGGACTCACCTCTTGATGAGGTCTCTCAGGTGCGACACTGGGATCGCGGTGTGAGTCTCAGTTTTACTGCTGAACATTTGGTCGATCACTGCTCCACTGTCCTCCTGAGGAAGGAACATCTCTGAACACTTAAGTTACACAAACGTTACACAAACGTTACACAAACGTTACACAAACGTTACACAAACGTTACACAAACGTTACACAAACGTTACACAAACGTTACACAAACGTTACACAAACGTTACACAACATAACTTATTATCACTCCAGGATCAGGCCTGAGACAATCTTTACAGACAGCAGCCGCTACAGCCAAGAACCGAGTCTGAGCCGAGTCGAGTCTGAGCCGAACCGAGTCCGAACAGAGTCCAAACAGAGTCTGAACAGCTCTATCCCACTCAGAGGAAGAGCAGGACCGATGCCCCCAGTGGTTAGTGTAATGTTTGCACATATGTGATGCGATCTGGGAAAACCTGTCGGATGTCGCTCTGGCACGTTCCGAGTAAACAGTGAAAATAGGTCGAGTGTCATTTTTTTGGCTAAATTGTGTTTTCATTAAATAATTATTATATAACGTCTTGTCTTTAATTTCTGAAAATATCTAGGTGAAATTTACTAGTTTTATAAATAAAAAATTGTGATACGTGTTGATAAACCGAACGTTACGTTACATCCTCCGCTCTGACCCCGGAAACAGCTGCTTTGAGACAGCTCATTGAGAGCACTGCTGTAACGGGGCTCCGAGTGCGGACCATAAACAGGTGGACAGGACCATAGACAGGACCATAGACAGGACCATAGACAGGACCATAGACAGGACCATAAGCACGTGAACAGGACCATAGACATGCGAACAGGACCATACGCGGATCATAGACACGCGAGACACTCGGACCATAGACAGTTGGACAGGACCATAGACAGAACCATACGCGGACAGAACCATTGACACGCGTTCAGACAATCCCCAGCTTGTTGCAAGTGCAGGTCTCCCCCGTGTCTCCTATGCGCTCACGAAATTAAAGCTCGGGTACCTAATTTTCTTCTTGCATTAAAAATGCTTGGTGGTTGTATATATTTATACTGCATGATTGGATAGAATAATACTGGCATTGTCTAATACATATATAATGTTCAGTAACTTATGAAGAGAAAGAAACTAAAAAAGAAGAGTTAGAAAAGTTTTGTAAAACAAATTCAATTCATTGAATTTTGAAATCATTCTTGATTTTCATCTAATTCATGAGTGTTGTGTGTTTAATTGGTGCCAAAGTAAAAAAAAATTATCTTTTACATAGTGACTAAAATATGTGACATAACAGAGTAATTCAAAGTTAACATGTTATATTTGATTGTGGTGATTCTATTTAGAATGTCTAACTCAGGGGTTAAAGCAAAAAAAAAAGATTTGACTGAAAATTTTTGCATGGAAATTTATCACATGTAAATCACAGTAATATGCAGGACCAAGTTATATTTGTAATTACAATATATTATTGTATAATAGATTGTATATTGAATACAGCTCAAATGAATGCTTCAAAGATATACAGTGTATTTTGATATGAAATATAAGTGGATCAAGCAACGAGTAAACTTTTTGACAGAATATTAGTGAGAGTAGCTTTACTTGAGGCGATATGGAGCGTCAACACTTTGGCTCTGTCCTCGTCAAAATATCGCAAAAGGACGATACAATTCTGTCCACATTTGTTTGTGGACACGTCAATATTTAAGAAAAAGGTTTCCCTATCAAGTTTGAGTGCACAGTGCACTTCGATCAACTGCAAATGATTTAAATAAATCTACCAGCGGTAGTGATATTCTGAACGTTATTTTCTGCGATAAAGCCACAGACACGGTCTGCCATAGCAAGCCTAGTGTCAGTTGTTGCTGATGCACCAGGTAAAGATGAAGTGTGGGAAAGTGCACAAACAGCTGCCTTGTGCGCAGTTTTGAGCTGGTGGCGAATCAAAACTTTTTTCTCATTACTTCCATATATGCAATTTTTTATGGCAAAGTACGCACAAGCACCGGCCACTTTCATCTTTTCGCACCATGACTCGTTGATTGGCTCTTTTACATCACGCTGAGTTTTACAAGAAGATCGCAAACAAGACAATATCAAAAGCTCACCAAGACATGTTTGTCCCCATTCCCAGTTGCAGCAAAGTCCGTTTTGTACATTCCGTTAAGTAAAATAGTATTGCGTTTGGTAAACGTTAATTACCTTTAGTCTATTACGCGCCCAGCTTACCGGTCCGTGGATCTGCTGCTGTTATTGCTCCGTTCGAGATTCAATTTTCCTCCTCTTCTCCTTTTCAAAAGCTCCGTGCAGTTTCCAGAAACTTTCACCTCCGTGTTACCAATGCTAACTTCATCGCGTCTCCATTTGCGCGTGAGCTCAGCTACGTCCCACTGCCTTGATTCATTTGCGGAGCGCTCATGTGGCCACGGCACGTTCAAGGCCCACTCGTGATTATATTACTTATTATTTCTATATACATATAAATACAATTATATTCAAATTATTATTATAAATCGATATATATATATATATATATATATATAACAGATTCACACGTATATGTATTACTATATATTATTTTTATAATCAATCATTTCATTGTGTGTATTATCATTATATATATTTTTTTTTTTTTCCAGACCAATTTCATTTGACGGAAATCCGTCACCTAGACGGAACTCTTTAATCCCTGGTCTAACTTTAAACCTGTTTTTTTCAGAATTCTGTTTCATCAAACCATGTGAATTCGCTGACTTCAGATAATAATAACTTTTGTTACAGACCTGCTATGAAAAAAGGAAAACAGATTTGAAAAGAGATTGAAAGCAGCTTTAAGATGGTTTCAGAATCTTAAGTTGGTCAAATGTCACCATGGGAGGGGTTTTCACATCACATATTTAGTATGATTGTGTCTGTTTGGTCTGTTTGGTCTGTTTGGTCTGTTTGGTCTCTAGCGAGTACCTGCCACTGCGGAGAGTGCACAGTGTCCTTGAGTCTGTTCCCAGAGTAGAGCTCCAGCAGGATGATGGCGAGGCTCCACAGATCCACCGCCGCCGTGCAGTGACTGTCCAGCTCCACTCCAGCCAGAGCCAGGCTGTTCTGCAGCTCGGCCTCCGGGGCACGGTACCCGTCCGTCTGGATGTACTTCACATCCTGCAACAGGAACACATATAATCATGATTTAAAAACTGTTAAAGTACAATGTCCTCAGATCACAGTGACCTCCTGGTGCCCTCCTGGTGTCAGGACCAGCAGTGACCTCACCTGGTTTCCCTCCTTGAAGCTCAAGCCAAAGTCTATGAGTTTGAAGCACTGGTCGTCCGCGCTCCACAGGACGTTTCGTGGTTTGAGGTCAGCGTGGACGTAACCCTCTCTGTGCAGAGACGACAGCGCCTCCAGCACGTCCCGAGCGCAGTGCTGCACCAGCCACAGGGAGTGGCCCTGCTGCAGCCTGCACCCACACAGCAGCTCAGTCAACACACCCCAAAACTGATGATGACGGACCAGTGGAAAGAAGCACCATTATCAATCTGGTTTGTTTGGGTCATGAGAGGTTTCTCAAGCTGTGGAGGTGAGGGCGACGTCTTCTCGTCTTGTTGGCAGCTCTCAACCTCCCCCACGACCTCAGACTCCCCCCCCCCACACGACCTGAGGGTAAAGCTGAACTCGTCATTAGACCAGAGACACAAGGATTTTCCACTTCCTGTTTGGGTCTGAAGGTCGACTCCTGGCGTCACAGCAGACTGTGCGGATAAAGCCCTGTGCTCTCTGATCCAGAGCTCTGCATCGTTTCTCCTCTTCCTCAGAGTTCTAGAGTTCACAGGTCTGTCTTTGAGCGTCTCCTTGCACATGTTTGAATAGAATAGAATCCTGAGTGTGTTTGGTTCTGACCTGAGGCTGTTTGTGGCCGTGGTCCGCAGCAGCAGAGAGGACACACTGACGTCCAGCAGCTCCAGCAGCAAACAGCGAGTGGCAGGTCCCAGAGCGCTGTGCTGCGTGAACACTCCGTACAGCGTCACTGCAACAACAGCATGTCACCGCACTGGGAAGCCCCCCCGACTCAGAAGCCGGGGGCTGAGTCGGGGGGCTTCTGAGTCGGAGTCAGAAGCCCCCGACTCAGAAGCTACAATCTCCCTCTGGGTTGGTGGGGGTGTACCCGGAATGAGAACTACCCAATGCTTTTGTATGCTACGTTCTTACCTCTGGAAAATGTCTTTAGAGGACGGTCTAAAGTCGGGTCTCGGTTCCAGATTCTATGGGGAGTATTTTTTTGGACCGGTCTAGTTTAGTCTCTGTAGACCTCGGTAAATGAATGGAGCTAGTGCAGCTAACACATTCGCAAATGTGTGTTTTCACATTTTTCTGCTCTGTGCATGTGTATGTACCCTTGTATCCCCATCGCTGTCAGACTGTACAGTAAGTCTGAGACAGAGGCAGAGACAGAGACAGAGACAGAGGCAGAGACAGAGGCAGAGGCAGAGACAGAGACAGAGACAGAGACAGAGACAGAGACAGAGGCAGAGACAGAGACAGAGGCAGAGACAGAGACAGAGACAGAGACAGAGGCAGAGACAGAGACAGAGGCAGAGACAGAGACAGAGGCAGAGACAGAGACAGAGACAGAGACAGAGGCAGAGGCGCAGAGGCAGAGGCAGAGACAGAGACAGAGACAGAGACAGAGGCAGAGGCGCAGAGGCAGAGGCAGAGACAGAGACAGAGACAGAGACAGAGACAGAGGCAGAGACAGAGGCAGAGACAGAGACAGAGACAGAGACAGAGGCAGAGACAGAGGCAGAGACAGAGACAGAGGCAGAGACAGAGACAGAGACAGAGGCAGAGGCAGAGACAGAGACAGAGGCAGAGACAGAGGCAGAGACAGAGACAGAGACAGAGACAGAGGCAGAGGCAGAGGCAGAGACAGAGGCAGAGACAGAGACAGAGACAGAGGCAGAGACAGAGACAGAGACAGAGGCAGAGACAGAGGCAGAGGCAGAGACAGAGGCAGAGACAGAGGCAGAGACAGAGACAGAGGCAGAGACAGAGACAGAGGCAGAGACAGAGACAGAGGCAGAGACAGAGACAGAGGCAGAGACAGAGACAGAGGCAGAGACAGAGACAGAGGCAGAGGCAGAGGCAGAGACAGAGGCAGAGACAGAGGCAGAGGCAGAGGCAGAGGCAGAGGCAGAGACAGAGGCAGAGACAGAGGCAGAGACAGAGACAGAGGCAGAGGCGCAGAGGCAGAGGCAGAGGCAGAGACAGAGACAGAGGCAGAGACAGAGACAGAGGCAGAGACAGAGGCAGAGGCAGAGGCAGAGGCAGAGACAGAGGCAGAGGCAGAGGCAGAGGCAGAGACAGAGGCAGAGGCAGAGGCAGAGGCAGAGACAGAGGCAGAGGCAGAGGCAGAGGCAGAGGCAGAGACAGAGACAGAGGCAGAGGCAGAGACAGAGGCAGAGACAGAGGCAGAGACAGAGACAGAGGCAGAGGCAGAGGCGCAGAGGCAGAGACAGGCAGAGGCGCAGAGGCAGAGGCAGAGACAGAGGCAGAGACAGAGGCAGAGAGAGGCAGAGACAGAGGCAGAGGCAGAGACAGAGACAGAGGCAGAGGCAGAGACAGAGACAGAGGCAGAGGCAGAGACAGAGGCAGAGGCAGAGGCAGAGGCGCAGAGGCAGAGACAGAGGCAGAGACAGAGGCAGAGGCAGAGGCAGAGGCAGAGGCAGAGACAGAGGCAGAGACAGAGGCAGAGGCAGAGACAGAGGCAGAGACAGAGACAGAGGCAGAGACAGAGGCAGAGGCAGAGGCAGAGGCAGAGACAGAGGCAGAGGCAGAGACAGAGGCAGAGGCAGAGGCAGAGACAGAGGCAGAGACAGAGGCAGAGACAGAGGCAGAGGCAGAGGCGCAGAGGCAGAGACAGAGGCAGAGGCAGAGACAGAGACAGAGGCAGAGGCAGAGGCAGAGGCAGAGGCAGAGGCAGAGACAGAGGCAGAGGCAGAGGCAGAGGCAGAGGCAGAGACAGAGGCAGAGGCAGAGGCAGAGGCAGAGGCAGAGACAGAGGCAGAGGCAGAGGCAGAGGCAGAGACAGAGGCAGAGACAGAGGCAGAGGCGCAGAGGCAGAGACAGAGGCAGAGGCAGAGGCAGAGGCAGAGGCAGAGGCAGAGACAGAGGCAGAGACAGAGACAGAGGCAGAGACAGAGACAGAGGCAGAGACAGAGACAGAGGCAGAGGCAGAGACAGAGACAGAGGCAGAGGCAGAGACAGAGGCAGAGGCAGATTCCCTCAATTGTGCATCACATTCAAACACATCCATCACCGCCAGAACACAGTATGATAAATAGGAAAATTATTAAAATACCGAAATAAAACTGAAGATTTTTAAGTGCAACATTAGAGAGAGTTTTAGTTATGATAGTAAACATTCATTCCACCTGGACCCGAGTGGAATGAGACAGTAGCCGCTGCAGGTGAGGGTGGAGAGTGGGAGGTACCTATGTTCTTGTGCCCCTGGATGTCCTCCAGCACACGCCTCTCCTTGTGGAAGGCGTAGTCTCCTCCGCGGGGCTGGGCCTGGAACTCTTTGACGGCCGCGGTGCTGCTGCCTCTGCCAGAGCTGACCTGGAACACAGACGCAGAACCTCCCTGGCCCAGCCGCGCCTGCACGCTCCAGATCTCCCCAAACACCTCGAACAGCACAGGCCTTTGCTTCGGCTCCACAGGGGCCTTCGGGACAGGCTGTATGGGGCCGCTCTGCATGGGGCCACTCTGGGCCATCGCTCAGAGACTCACTGTAACATCAGAGTCACTGTTAGAAAGTTATTAAAGCTTTCAATGTTCAATATATCTAACTGAAAATAAGACACAAAAGTGCTCCATCTGTGAATCTGTCCTTTTATTCTTTTACATGGGTGCAGGATGTGACATGTTTGCATTAATCACGTTTTTTTTAATACAGCATGTTCTGATGTTCACAACATTTAACTTTTACGAGACTTGTTTTAATGGAACCACAAATACCAAGTGAATATTTATAATTATAAAAGTTCGGTGCATAGATTTGTCACTTTGGTTTAATCATAAACTTGAGCAGATACGACACAAACATCACATTATTCGCTCCAGAGTTTAGTGTTTAATCCACAGACTGTAAATGTTTAGTTACATTTGGTAGAATCCTGGACCTGTCTCTTCAGACCCGGGTTTGGGCCAGAGCAGCGCAGTGTGGAGCCCTCACATGGTCCCTGCTCCCCGGGCACAGAGAGCAGCGCTGGGCACAGGGCAGGGCTCTGTCTGCGGTGTCAGGGTTCGTCAGGGGTCCTCCGGGGTCCTCCTCGGTCCTACTGGGTCCTCCGGGGTCCAGCTGCTGCTTCTGTCGCTGCCACTTTCTCCAAAACTTTGATGTAATTGAAACAGACTTCCGGGTAGCTCTGTCCGCGCTCACTGCTGCCCCTGGCGGAGAGGAAGCCGAGTGACACTTCTCCAATTTAAGTTTATATTTATGTAGTTTTACCGGAATGTCCGACTCAGTTCTTCAACTAAAACACAGATAGCATGAATAACAAATACTCAGGGTTTGCACATGTTCTTTATTCTTGAAATGCTCACTGAAGAAACCTGACGTCCGCGATCGCTCTGCTTTAAACTGTCACAAAGAAGAGATTTCAGTGAGAAACACAAATACAATTCCTGTATGGTCCAAGTGCTTTTTATTAATGGCTCCTGGGGCCAGAACCTCTGTCTGTGGTATAAACTAATGTGGGTGAAAACTATTTTTCCCTGGTGTATGTAAACGTCTGGTTTGACTGCCCCCTGCTGGGGACATGTAACACTGCACTTCAACACAAACATTCGAATAAGAAATAAAAGCCAACAACAAATCAAAGACTTACTTGTTTTTTAATGGGATTAAATTCTTCAGTGTAATCTTCTGTTGATATTTATCCGTCCCTCCGTCACTTGTCCTGGGTCTGGACTCATTCTTCCACTTTATCCTGCTGCAGCTGAATGAGGCGTCCCCAGCTCCTGACTCCGCTCTTCACCACAACAGTCTACAGAGTCTACAGAGTCTGCTTCATGGCGTGATGCTGGGACCCGAGAAATCTGCAGCAGATTTTCATTTTCTCCCACTGGGTTTTGAGTTTTTTTCTTCCAGATGCAGGAGGCTCCAAACTGATCGACTTTTATGGACATTTGTCTCTGTCTCTTCCTGTATTATAACTGCTTGATTCTCTGATCTGTGTTCGTGAATCAACAATTTAATAAAGTCCTCCCCAAAAAACTGCTGTTGTCTTTTAGGACTTTATAAAAAATGAAATGAACTGAGCATTTGTACCAGAAGTTCCCGATACTAGCGTGGATGGAGCTAAAAACCACCCCAGGTCTGTGTATGACGTGTAACCAGTGTGACATGCTCCCAGTGTGACATCATCAGTTTTCAGAATAAAACACAAGAGACACAGGGATAAATAAGCTACAAATGTCATTTTTATTATTACTTTAAATAACGTCTAAATAAAGGGACTAAAGACATGCTCATGTGTCCGTTATCAAAAATATGGCGTCGGAGGTAGAAAAACATCCAGGCTTTTACTTTGAAACCGTCCAGACTTTTATTCTGAAAAGATGTTTGGCCGCACAGTGTGCAGAGTCAAAACGCAGGCAGTGCATTCGCTCGGCTCACTGCGAAAAGTAGAATATTTAGTCTCTGGAAAATCGTGTTCCATTGAATATCGAGTTTTTACTTTTGAAAAAATGACTTTGTTTTAAAGTTTTGCTAAATTTTAACGGTCAAAAAATTGACAAATTGGTAAAAAATCTCCATGAACAAAGCCATGAATCCACGCAAATTTAATAGTAAATATTCCAGATATTTTTTAAACATTTTTACCAATTTTTCCAATGTATAAAGTCAATTATCATTTATTAGTTTTGTCGGTTTGAGTCTTATCTTTTCAGTACAAGTTTAGTGTTTTTTATTTTTATTTTTAACTGACTCAGGAAAAAATATAAATTCATATATGTTTATCTTTGGGAAATGTTCACAACTCAATCCAACAAAACAAAACAAAAAAAATTCAATTTCAGTGCAATTTTTCCGTTTTTCCACGTCCCGACGATAAACGCGTAAATATTTCACAAACAAAAGTAAAAACCCTGGATGCATTTCTCCCGCCGACCACACGTTCTACTACACAAATTAAAAAAGAAGACGACAAAGGGTGAGACGGCCATTTTCGAACCTCCCTTTGGTAAAAACAGCTTCATAAACAAATTCTTAAATATACAAACCAAGTCCGTGAGTCCACAGTTGAGCTTGGAGAGTTTTACTTGGATACACGTCATTAAAAAGTCCATATTTACACAGTATTTACAAAAAAACACAGAGAGAAAACTGTAAAAGCTGGTGCGCGGTCTCTGCGGTCGATCCGGAGCTAAAAGTTGCGCTGAAGGGCGGCCAGGATCGAACAATAATCTGTTCCGTAGATATTTTTATGTACACAACACTAGACATTCATTGTACAATTTCACACATTTTGATCTGTTTTTAAAGAGCAGATATTAAGCGTCATCGGCCTCCATTTTGGCTCTTGACACGTCCATTTTGGCTCTTGACACGTCCATTTTGGGGTGAGATGACTGTGATGCGAGTCCAACATGGTGCGGTCTAATTTAAACACTGGGGCAAGTCTTGCACAGTTTCTCCAATGGGGTTTTACTGCAAATGGCAAATAAATTCTTGTATCTTATCCATTTGCTTTTGACATAATTCAACAGTTTGAAAGATGAGATGAAGTTTTAAGTTTATGTTTTCAAAGGACAGCATTGAGACTTCTCTGGGGCCATAATCAAAGACACAGCTAATGCGAGGTGGCCGAGGAGTTTACAGGAACTGGAGTATTTGTGCAGAGAAGAATGTGCAGCTTTCCCATCAGAGAGGATACATAAAGTGCTTTTGAGAACTGGGGGATGGAGATTTCTGATCAGGGTCAGAGGAGTTTATGTTTTTATTATGTTTGAAAATAGAAAACCGTTTATTTAACGATAAATGGCTTCAAACGACCAAGAATAAACTAAACTAAATCACCTGAAAAAGCTTTTAAATTTATGCTTGGGTTAGTCTCTACTCTACTCTACTCTACTCTACTCTACTCTACTCTACTCTACTCTACTCTACTCTGTGTGTGTGTGTTTGAGTGTGTGTGTGTGTGTGTGTGTGTGTGTGTGTGTTTTTGATTGTGTTGAAACATGGCCAAAAGCTCAAAAAAGAAGACGATTTTGCATAATACGTGCCCTTTAACATTTCAATACTGTCCGGCAGCGGAGGCAGTGAAAACACGTGGCTGCAAGTTTTTAATAGGATTTTTAGATTTTTTTTTAAATATATAAAATCCAAGTTCATTGTTTTTTGCCTTAAGGTGGGAATGCCTCTGTTAAAACCAATGGGGTCCCAGCCTTTACTCTATAATAAAACCTCTGTCTATTTAAGTGCACTTGTTTTAGCCTTTACCTCCTTAAAACCGCTTTCTTTTGTTCGCATTAGTTTGATTTAAGATTAGATTCGAGCGCAGGACGTAAAACTGGGGGTAGGGAGAGTTTTCAAAGCAATGTTTAGATCATAAAATCCAAATTAGCCGTTTGTCCGGTTAATAAGCACCATTTCTGAGGAGATATTGGGGTCACATGACAGAAAACATGGCTCAAACATGCGACATCACAGCTACAGGAAGTGTCGGACCATGGGCTTTGAACTGCCCTAAACCCTTTATAGTTCTTTTCACGCTAAGCCACACCCCCTCTGACCCTGGCCCGACTTTCACAGAAGGCTCAAAATCATGGGTCATATGTGTTTGTACCAATACTAACGGTTTTCCCAAACTAAGAGTCCTGACTAGAACCAGGAAGTATGATCTCATTAGTCCTGGTCTCAGGTCTCTGCTTCCTGTGGCTCCGAGTAGACTTTAAAGCAGCTGTGCCTCCTGCTGGGACTCTGAGGAGCACAGGGACTGGCCTCCTGCTGGGACTCTGAGGAGCACAGGGACTGGCCTCCTGCTGGGACTCTGAGGAGCACAGGGACTGGCCTCCTGCTGGGACTCTGAGGAGCACAGGGACTGGCCTCCTGCTGGGACTCTGAGGAGCACAGGGACTGGCCTCCTGCTGGGACTCTGAGGAGCACAGGGACTGGCCTCCTGCTGGGACTCTGAGGAGCACAGGGACTGGTCTCCTGCTGGGACTCGGAGGAGCACAGGGACTGGTCTCCTGCTGGGACTCGGAGGAGCACAGGGACTGGCCTCCTGCTGGTCCCAGAGTCAGGACTAGACATAGAAATACAGCTAAAATGTGAGTAATTGTAATGTTCTTGTTTGCTTTTGTTGTGTGGATGGACTGATACAGATAAACTTCCCAAACCGGTTTGATTTTGAGATTTTGTGAAAAAGTCAGACCTGGTCCTAAAACGGTGAAGGTGGAAGCGACAGAAAAGGACTATTTCGACTGATACATCTTTGAGCTGCCATCTTGGACCGTCCCTGTGTGTTTTGGCACCGTGGCGGCCCCTGGGAACGCGGCGGGTCCCAGCTAAAAACGCTGGTAAAAACCTGATCCTGCCGCCCCGAAGTGCAACACGCCGTCGCTTACCGCGCCTTTAAAAACACGGACCTTTGTCCAACAGTCCGGTTCAGGAGGAGGTCTTGGCGGGCGAGTGAGGGTAGCTGACCCGGTACCGGTGGATGTGGCGGTGGTGGAGGACCTCGGGGTGGCGGCTGGTGGAGCACGGCAGGAGGCCCTCTCGCCGTTCTCCCATCAGCCACTTGTTGGTGTCGGAGCTCATGTCGCGGGTCACGTGATCCTTCGCCCACGCGTCCACCCGCGCCTGGAAACGGTTGTGCAGCCGCGTGCTCACCCGCTCGTGGGACTGCGGAGGAGAGGGGAGGGGTTAGATGGGTGAGGAGGGAGGAGTTAGAGGGTGAGGAGGGAGGAGTTAGAGGGTGAGGAGTTAGAGGGTGAGGAGGGAGGAGTTAGCGGGTGAGGAGGGAGGAGTTAGAGGGTGAGGAGGGAGGAGTTAGAGGATGAGGAGGGAGGAGTTAGAGGGTGAGGAGGGAGGAGTTAGAGGGTGAGGAGGGAGGAGTTAGAGGGTGAGGAGGGAGGAGTTAGAGGGTGAGGAGTTAGAGGGTGAGGAGGGAGGAGTTAGAGGGTGAGGAGTTAGAGGGTGAGGAGGGAGGAGTTAGGGGGGAGGAGTTAGAGGGTGAGGAGGGAGGAGTTAGAGGGTGAGGAGGGAGGAGTTAGAGGGTGAGGAGGGAGGAGTTAGAGGGTGAGGAGGGAGGAGTTAGAGGGTGAGGAGGGAGGAGTTAGAGGGTGAGGAGGGAGGAGTTAGAGGGTGAGGAGGGAGGAGTTAGAGGGTGAGGAGGGAGGAGTTAGAGGTGAGGAGGGAGGAGTTAGAGGGTGAGGAGGAGGAGTTAGAGGGTGAGGAGGGAGGAGTTAGAGGGTGAGGAGGGAGGAGTTAGAGGGTGAGGAGGGAGGAGTTAGAGGGTGAGGAGGGAGGAGTTAGAGGGTGAGGAGGGAGGAGTTAGAGGGTGAGGAGGGAGGAGTTAGAGGGTGAGGAGGGAGGAGTTAGAGGGTGAGGAGGGAGGAGTTAGAGGGTGAGGAGGGAGGAGTTAGAGGGTGAGGAGGGAGGAGTTAGAGGGTGAGGAGGGAGGAGTTAGAGGGTGAGGAGGGAGGAGTTAGAGGGTGAGGAGGGAGGAGTTAGAGGGTGAGGAGGGAGGAGTTAGCGGGTGAGGAGGGAGGAGTTAGAGGGTGAGGAGGGAGGGGTTAGAGGGTGAGGAGGGAGGAGTTAGAGGATGAGGAGGGAGGAGTTAGAGGGTGAGGAGGGAGGAGTTAGAGGAGGGAGGAGTTAGAGGGTGAGGAGGGAGGAGTTAGAGGGTGAGGAGGGAGGAGTTAGAGGGTGAGGAGGGAGGAGTTAGAGGGTGAGGAGGGAGGAGTTAGAGGAGGGAGGAGTTAGAGGAGGGAGGAGTTAGAGGGTGAGGAGGGAGGAGTTAGAGGGTGAGGAGGGAGGAGTTAGAGGGTGAGGAGGGAGGAGTTAGAGGGTGAGGAGGGAGGAGGAGGTAGAGGAGGGAGGAGTTAGAGGGTGAGGAGGGAGGAGTTAGAGGGTGAGGAGGGAGGAGTTAGAGGGTGAGGAGGGAGGAGTTAGAGGGTGAGGAGGGAGGAGTTAGAGGGTGAGGAGGGAGGAGTTAGAGGGTGAGGAGGGAGGGGTTAGAGGGTGAGGAGGGAGGAGTTAGAGGGTGAGGAGGGAGGAGTTAGAGGGTGAGGAGGGAGGAGTTAGAGGGTGAGGAGGGAGGAGTTAGAAGGTGAGGAGGGAGGAGTTAGAGGGTGAGGGGAGGAGTTAGAGGGTGAGGAGGGAGGAGTTAGAGGGTGAGGAGGGAGGAGTTAGAGGGTGAGGAGGGAGGAGTTAGAGGGTGAGGAGGGAGGAGTTAGAGGGTGAGGAGGGAGGAGTTAGAGGGTGAGGAGGGAGGAGTTAGAAGGTGAGGAGGGAAGTGTGTAAGTATTAGTATGTGTGTGCGTGCATGTGCATAGCCACATCAAATCAGTAACATCAGCAGCTTTTTACCATCTAAAAAACATTGCCAGGATCAAAAACATAGTGTCTAAAGCAGACTTGGAGATTCTTATCCATGCATTTGTCTCCAGTAGGTTAGACTACTGCAATGGCCTGCTCACAGGTCTGTCCAAACAGGCTGTAAAACAGCTGCAGTACATTCAAAATGCAGCAGCTCGAGTCCTGACTAGAACCAGGAAGTACGACCATATTAGTCCTGACTAGAACCAGGAAGTACGACTACATTAGTCCTGACTAGAACCAGGAAGTACGACTACATTAGTCCTGACTAGAACCAGGAAGTACGACCACATTAGTCCTGACTAGAACCAGGAAGTACGACCACATTAGTCCTGACTAGAACCAGGAAGTACGACCACATTAGTCCTGACTAGAACCAGGAAGTACGACCACATTAGTCCTGACTAGAACCAGGAAGTACGACTACATTAGTCCTGACTAGAACCAGGAAGTACGACCACATTAGTCCTGACTAGAACCAGGAAGTACGACCACATTAGTCCTGACTAGAACCAGGAAGTACGACCACATTAGTCCTGACTAGAACCAGGAAGTACGACCACATTAGTCCTGACTAGAACCAGGAAGTACGACCACATTAGTCCTGACTAGAACCAGGAAGTACGACCACATTAGTCCAGTCCTCAGGTCTCTGCACTGGCTTCCTGTGGCTCAGCGAATAGACTTTAAAACAGCTCTGCTTGTTACAAGTCTCTCCATGGCCTCGCACCAAAATATATTAGTGACATGTTAGTCCCATATGAACCAGCCCGGACTCTGAGGACTGGACTCCTGCTGGGACTCTGGGACAGGGACTGGACTCCTGCTGGGACTCTGAGGAGCACAGGGACTGGACTCCTGCTGGGACTCTGAGGAGCACAGGGACTGGACTCCTGCTGGGACTCTGAGGAGCACAGGGACTGGACTCCTGCTGGGACTCTGAGGAACACAGGGACTGGACTCCTGCTGGGACTCTGAGGAGCACAGGGACTGGTCTCCTGCTAGGACTCTGAGGAGCACAGGGACTGGACTCCTGCTGGGACTCTGAGGAGCACAGGGACTGGACTCCTGCTGGGACTCTGAGGAGCACAGGGACTGGTCTCCTGTTAGTGCCCAGAGTCAGAACTAAACATGGGGAGGCTGCTTTTCAGATTAATGCTGCTAAAATCTGGAACAGTCTTCCTGAAGATGTGAGACAGGCCTCCTCTCTGACAATGTTTAAAACCAGGTTAAAGACAGTTCTGTTTAACTGTGCTACAACTGAAGGATTTTATATTTTTATCTTTCTTTTTAATGTTCTGTGATTATTTATGATTTTAATGCTTTCTTATTTTGTTCAGTACTTTGAATTGCCTTGAGTATGAATTGTGCTATATAAATAAACTTGCCTTGCCTATGTGTGTGTGTGCATGTGTGCGTGTGTGTCTGTGTGTTCATGTGTGCGTCTGTGTGTTCATGTGTGTGTGTGTGTGTGCGCGTGTGCGTACCTGGTGCGCCCGCAGCAGTGCGGTGCGGCGGTACATGTGTGTGCGTGTGTGTGTGTGTGTGCGTGCGCGTGTGCGTACCTGGTGCGCCCGCAGCAGTGCGGTGCGGCGGTACATGTGTGTGCGTGTGCGTGCGTGTGCGTGCGCGTGTGTGTACCTGGTGCGCCCGCAGCAGTGCGGTGTGGCGGTACATGTGTGTGCGTGTGCGTGCGCGTGTGTGTACCTGGTGCGCCCGCAGCAGTGCGGTGCGGCGGTACATGTGTGTGTGTGTGTGTGTGTCTGGTGCGCCCGCAGCAGTGCGGTGTGGCGGTACATGTGTGTGTGCGTGTGCGTGCGCGTGTGTGTACCTGGTGCGCCCGCAGCAGTGCGGTGCGGCGGTACATGTGTGTGTGTGTGTGTGTGTCTGGTGCGCCCGCAGCAGTGCGGTGTGGCGGTACATGTGTGTGCGTGCGTGTGTGTGCGCGTGTGTGTACCTGGTGCGCCCGCAGCAGTGCGGTGCGGCGGTACATGTGTGTGTGTGTGTGTGTGTCTGGTGCGCCCGCAGCAGTGCGGTGTGGCGGTACATGTGTGTGCGTGTGCGTGCGCGTGTGTGTACCTGGTGCGCCCGCAGCAGTGCGGTGCGGCGGTACATGTGTGTGCGTGTGTGTGCGCGGTGTGTGTACCTGGTGCGCCCGCAGCAGTGCGGTGCGGCGGTACATGTGTGTGTGTGTGTGTGTGTGTCTGGTGCGCGCCCGCAGCAGTGCGGTGTGGCGGTACATGGTGTGTGTGTGTGCGTGTGCGTGCGCGTGTGTGTACCTGGTGCGCCCGCAGCAGTGCGGTGCGGCGGGTACATGTAGTCCTCGGACTTGAAGACGTAAACCATTTTGTAGGAGTTGAGTTTGAACATGCACTCCATCTTCTCCTTGTCCTTCTTCCCTCCTTCAGACGCCTCCTGGTCCAGCTGCTCCCGCCCTTTCTGGTACTTCCTGATCCGCCGCAGGTTTCTGTGAGAGCACCAGGAGTTACACCAGAAAATACATATGGTAAAGAAGACTTAAATACATATGGTAAAGAAGACTTAACTTGAGCACTATCCTCTCCTCCTTCCTACTCTATCTGTCTGCATTATGACTTCGACTGTAGTCTGTTCATTGCTATTCACCCACTGTCCCTGAACCCGGCCTCCTCCATCTGCACCTGCGGACTGCCCTGTCCGGCCCGACCCGTGGGCTGCACCCCCTCCCCGCCTGGAGCTGCTTTAGTCCTGTTCCACGTCTGTCCTCGTTGTACAACCTGAGTCCTGCACCACATGGCCTTGGTCCTCCTTCTGTAGCAGAGTCCTGGATCTAAAGCCCTGGATCTAAAGTCCATCCATCCATCCATTTTCTTCCGCTTTATCCGTTGCCGGGTCGCGGGGGCAGCAGTCTAAGCAGAGACGCCCAGACTTCCCTATCCACACACACTTCCTCCAGCTCGTCCGGGGGGACCCCAAGGCGTTCCCAGGCCAGCTGAGAGACATAGTCCCTCCAGCGTGTCCTAGGTCTTCCGCGGGGCCTCCTCCCGGTGGGACATGCCCGGAACACCTCCCCAGGGAGGCGTCCAGGAGGCATCCGGAACAGATGCCCGAGCCACCTCAACTGGTTCCTCTCGACGTGGAGAAGCAGCGGCTCTACTCCGAGCTCCTCCCGTGTGACTGAGCTCCTCACCCTATCTCTAAGGGAGCGCCCAGCCACTCTGCGGAGGAAGCTCATTTCGACCGCTTGTATCCGCGATCTCGTTCTTTCGGTCATTACCCAAAGCTCATGACCATAGGTGAGGGAGGGAACGAAGATTGACCGGTAAATCGAGAGCTTTGCCTTTCGGCTCAGCTCCCTCTTTACCACAACGGTCCGATACAGCGACCGCATCACTGCGCACGCTGCACCGATCCGCCTGTCAATCTCACGCTCCATCCTTCCCTCACTCGTGAACAAGACCCCGAGATACTTGAACTCCTCCACTTGAGGAAGGACCTCTCCACCCACCTGAAGAGGGCAGGGCACCTTTTTCCGGTCGAGCACCATGGCCTCAGATTTGGAGGTGCTGATTCTCATCCCAGCCGCTTCACACTCGGCTGCAAACCGTCCCAGTGCATGCTGCAGGTCCTGGTTCGTTGGAGCCAACAGGACAACATCGTCCGCAAACAGCAGAGATGAAATCCTGTGGTCCCCGAACCGGACCCCCTCCGACCCCTGGCTGCGCCTAGATATTCTGTCCATAAATACAGTGAACAGAACCGGTGACAAAGGGCAGCCCTGTCGGAGGCCAACATTCACCGGGAACAGGTCTGACTTACTGCCGGCAATGCGAACACAGCTCTGGCTCCGGTCATACAGGGATCGGATGGCCCTCAGCAGAGGACCCCGGACCCCGTACTCCCGGAGGACCCCCGAAAGGACACCCCGGGGAACACAGTCGAACGCCTTCTCCAAATCCACAAAGCACATGTGGACAGGTTGGGCGAACTCCCATGAACCCTCGAGTATCCGATGGAGAGTATAGAGCTGGTCCAGTGTTCCGCGACCGGGACGAAAACCACACTGCTCCTCCTGAATCCGAGATTCGACCATCGGCCGTAGCCTCCTCTCCAGTACCTTGGAGTAGACCTTACCGGGGAGGCTGAGGAGTGTGATCCCACGATAATTGGAACACACCCTCCGGTCCCCCTTCTTGTAGAGAGGGACCACCACCCCGGTCTGCCACTCCATTGGCACCGCCCCCGATCGCCACGCGATGTTGCAGAGACGTGTCAGCCAAGACAGTCCTACAACATCCAGAGACTTTAGATAATCAGGGCGGATCTCATCCACACCCGGAGCCTTGCCACCATGGAGGCTACCAACCACCTTGGTGACCTCAGCCAGGGAGATGGATGTATCCGCCCCAACATCCTCAGCCTCTGCCTCTGTAACGGAGGACGTGACGGGGGGATTGAGGAGAACCTCAAAGTATTCCTTCCACCGTCCGACAATATCCCCCGTCGAGGTCAGCAGCTCTCCACCCGCACCGTACATGGTGTTGGCAAAGAACTGCTTCCCCCTCCTGAGGCGCCGGACGGTTTGCCAGAATTTCTTTGAGGCCGACCGATAGTCATGCTCCATGGACTCTCCGAACTCCTCCCAGTCCCGGGTTTTTGCCTCTGCAACAGCCCGGGCCGCGGCACGCTTGGCCTGCCGGTACTGGACAGCTGCCTCAGGAGTCCCCCGAACCATCATGGCTCGATAGGACTCCTTCTTCAGCCTGACAGCATCCCTTACTGCCGGTGTCCACCACCGGGTTCGGGGGTTGCCGCCGGGACCAGCACCAGAGACCTTGCGACCACAGCTACGAGCCGCCGCATCGGCGATTGAGGCAGAGAACATGGTCCACTCGGACTCCATGTCCCCCTCCTCCACCGGGACCTGGGATCTAAAGTCCTGGATCTAAAGCCCTGGATCTAAAGCCCTGGATCTAAAGCCCTGGATCTAAAGCCCTGGATCTAAAGCCCTGGATCTAAAGCCCGTCCATTAACAGTAGTTAATAGTAATGATAAAAAATCCTTTCAGGGGCAACTAAACATGGTCTGTCCGGCCGCGTTGGGCCCACGGGCCTTGTGTTTTAGGCAGGACTGACCTGGGCAAGAACACTGGCTTCTGTGCGAGGTGCTCCCTCAGCTCCGGAGTCGTGGAGTCCGGGTTCAGATACCGACCCACGTAATCAGACCAACGCTGCAGAAAACAGTGTGTTACATAAAGCTTCAATTCATTTGGAGAAAAAAAGCAAAGCCAGGTTTTGATTCACAGAAGAAATGATCAGTGAAAGAAACCAGACGGAAAACAACACATCTTTCTTTGTCAAAATAACACTGGGCTTCATAGAGATTTAATGTAATTCCTCATAACCACCACCAGAGGAGCTATTGTGTTAGAGTTGTGTTACATAGAGACTTTATTGATCCCTGTCGGAGAAACTCGGGTCCAGCCGCAGAAACATATCCATATAATATCCCTTTGTACCTCAGTTATAAACATTTCTAAATAATAAATGCATGTTTTTAACTCATCCAGGTCGTTGTACAGTCTGACAGCTGAAGGAACAAAGGCAGGGCAGTGATATAAGCCTGTTGCAACGGTTACTCCTCTGAGCAGTGTCCGTAAATTTTTTGTTGTTCATTTAACCTTTTTTTAACAAGGAAAGTCCCATTGAGATTGAGAACCTCTTTTTCAAGTCTTGTCCTGAAACAACAGTCTCTATTGATGGATGGAGCTCCAAAAAGAAAAGAAAGGAGTGTCTACAAACGCAGTCAGCTCACCTCGGCCTCCATGGGTTCGTCTGACGTCTCCTCCTCAGTGTCCAGGAGCTCCACCGTCAGCTGCACTTGGCCTCGATTCCTCAAGAACATCACCTGAAGGAAAAGAGGATCAGTGGATTTTATCGACAAAACTACATTTACGCCTCAACAATAACTCAATAAGACAATAAGACATTTTTACAGATTGTTAGAACTAAAAAGCTTTCTCCAATCCTAGTTTCATCTTCAGTCCATGTCTCTCTGGTCTCTCATGGCGCGTTCAGACGCTGATGCTGTTAGTTGTTTTTTAGCATGCTAGCTGGTTCTTTGACTCACCTTGAAGCAGTTCTCGTCGGACATGATCTGCTCGGCTCTGCGCTGGTACAGGGACTCTGCGGCGCCGCGTGACGCTTGCGTGGATATGGCGCCCCCGGTGGCGGTGTTCAGACTCTCTGACAGATACAAGTCTGTGACCTGGACGCAGATCTCGTCGCTCACGATGTGCTGCAGCTGCAACGAAGAGAAGGAGGTTATGGAGATTGTATCTGGTAACTATGGCAACAGGCTAGAATCTGATTTCTTTTGTCTCTCTCCCTCTCTGGTCTCTCTGGTCTCTCTCTCTGGTCTCTCTCTCTGGTCTCTCTCTGGTCTCTCTCTCTGGTCTCTCTCTCTGGTCTCTCTCTCTGGTCTCTCTCTCTGGTCTCTCTCTCTGGTCTCTCTCTCTGGTCTCTCTCTCTGGTCTCTCTCTGGTCTCTCTCTGGTCTCTCTCTGGTCTCTCTCTCTGGTCTCTCTCTGGTCTCTCTCTGGTCTCTCTCTGGTCTCTCTCTGGTCTCTCTCTGGTCTCTCTCTGGTCTCTCTCTGGTCTCTCTCTGGTCTCTCTCTGGTCTCTCTCTGGTCTCTCTCTGGTCTCTCTCTGGTCTCTCTCTGGTCTCTCTCTCTGGTCTCTCTCTCTGGTCTCTCTCTCTGGTGTCTCTCTCTGGTGTCTCTCTCTGGTGTCTCTCTCTGGTCTCTCTCTCTGGTCTCTCTCTCTGGTGTCTCTCTCTGGTGTCTCTCTCTGGTCTCTCTCTCTGGTGTCTCTCTCTGGTGTCTCTCTCTGGTGTCTCTCTCTGGTGTCTCTCTCTGGTCTCTCTCCTCACCTGCCGGACCAGGCTCTGGATGAGCTTGTCCATGGTGAAGGCTGTGAAGGCGTGGATGGTGAACATCTCCCGGAGGTTGTCCTCATATTGAGACGCGTCCATGTTTCCATCCAGAAGGTTCCGCACCATCTCCAGGAAAGCAGAGTAATAATCCTCCACTTCAATGTCCACTACAGGAGAGGAGGAGGAGGAAGAAGAGGAAGAAGAGGGGGAGGAGGAGGAGGAGGAAGAGGAGGGGGAAGAGGAGGAGAAGGAGAGGGGGGACGAGGGGGAGGAAGAGAAGGAGGAGAGATGAGTAGGAAGAGGGGGGTGAGGAGGAGGAAGAGGGATGAGGAGGAAGTGGAAGAGGAGGAAGAGGGATGAGGAGGAAGTGGAAGAGGAGGAAGAGGGATGAGGAGGAAGCGGAAGAGGAGGAAGAGGGATGAGGAGGAAGTGGAAGAGGAGGAAGAGGGATGAGGAGGAAGTGGAAGAGGAGGAAGAGGAGGAGGAGGATTATTTATGATTCATTTATTAGTCCTCTAACTGCTAACTGACTCTTTCCCGTGTGGTTAGGGCCAGAGGACAATAATTATCTGTTATTGTTAATGAGTGAGGCATCATCTACAGTGTTTCAATGTTCCAATAAGTCCTTTCTTACGTTTACAAAATAATGATGTCGTGCTCAGTCCCAGACCTGATCTGAGTGTGACGTCATTGCTCCACGATGACATCACAGCTTTGCCCTGAGTTAGATTAGATTTGTTTTTTCAATTGCTCTAACTACATTCTTTGTAAATCAAGGAATATTTAGATTTTTGAAAAACAAAACAAAAATGCTACACCTCCCTCTAGTGGCGTCATAGGGATAGGGCAGGCCGATAATAGTGATTTAGCGTTTGCCGAAGCAGGAAAGTCTCAGGACGCTCCACATTCACCACATTTATGGACTTTGGTCTCTGCTCCTGTGTTGGAACGGTTTGATTCTCTGATGTGTGTTGGCAAATTCAACAGTTTTGTAAAGTCCTCTGTTGTGATTCAGAACAAAACCAAACTGGTCTCTCTGGTCTCTCGCTCACTCTCTGGTCTCTCGCTCTCTCTCGGTCTCTCTCGCTCTCTCTCGGTCTCTCTTGCTCTCTCTCGCTCTCTCTCTCTCTCTCTCTGATCTCTCGCTGGTCTCTCGCTCTCTCTGGTCTCTCGCTCCCTCTGCTCTCTCTGATCTCTCGCTCCCTCTGGTCTCTCGCTCCCTCTGGTCTCTCGCTCTCTCTGGTCTCTCTCACAGGATCAGTCTGACCTGTGGACCCCATCATGTCTGTAATCTGTAGGGTAATAATTCTGCCACAAATGACTTCCTGTATTTGTCCGAAAACACAGACTGTGATAAAACTAATCCATGTCAGTGATTGCGATGCTAATGCCGCCTTCTCTACTTTATGTTTGGTTGGAAATGTTGATTAGCATTTTTGAAACTATAAAAAAGCAAACTATAGTACGAGTGACAAACGCCTCTAAATACAAGTGAGGTGTGTGTGGAGCTGAGTTAGAGCGTGTTTTGACCGGAGCCGCGCCACTGCAAGGATCCGATGGGCGTGAAGCGGACACTTGTGCACGTGCAGCCGTTATGTGTCTGTTATTACTATATGTCAGTGAAAATAGTCATTCACAGACATTACTCCGGTGTGAATGCGCTTTTAGATCTCAGACGTCCTCCACCATTATCACATATCCCCAGAGGTCCACAGGTCGTACTAATCCTGTGTTAATACCGCTTTAATTGTTATTTTAATGGAAAAAAATAAAGCTAATATTCTCATTTTTTGCCCAGCCGCACACGTCGACTCACTGGGTTCCTTGAGTCGCAGCTGGACCGCCGGGTTGTCGCTCTTCTCCCTCTTCAGGCCGAGCATGTCGCGTTCCCAGTCGCGCTCCCGCAGCTCGGCCTCGATCTGGCGCTCGGCCTGGGCGTACAGCTTCAGCAGCCGCGAGCACAGCGTCTGGTGCAGCCGCAGGAAGATGTACCAGTTGTTGTTGACGTAGAAGAGGTTGTAGCCGTCCTCGCAGGTCTTCAGCTTCTGCGCCGCCGTGTTGTGGAAGAGCAGCTTGGACTTGGACGGACTTCCCGCGACGCCGTTGTGCTTTTTGGCACCCTCTTCCAGCTCGATGTCCTCCTCCTCTTCCTCCTCTTCGGCGTCGGACAGCTCCCCCCGCTGCGCAAACAGCAGGTCGGGGATGAAGTGGTAGATGACCTGTTTGATCTTGTACTTGTCCTCTTTGTTGATGCTGGTCTGCCGCCGGACGTGGTGCAGGATCAGAGAGGCTGCGTCCTCCAGGATCTGCGGGTCTTCGTAGGAGAGGGTCATGTGGGGTCCCGAGGGCGGAGACGAGTTCTCCTCAGAGGCCTGCTCCTGTCGCTGCGAGGAGGAGAGAGAGAAGAGACTCAGACCAGTCTGACAGCACGGAATAAGGCCTCAGATTATATTTAGGGCCAGGATTCTGTTTTAACACAATACGTTCTAAAATAACCCCCAAAAAGTGAAATCCTTAAAGTAACAGCTGTGTGTTTTAAAGCTGTAAAACCCACACACACTTTACTCCTGATTTTTACCACCTCCACCAAAGCATCATCATTTATCTTGTTAGTTATCAAGTTATGTTCCATATTTCACCACAATCATAAATGTTGTTTATTGGTATTTTTAGTTTTACTAAACAATAATATTTAACTTGAAGCAACAAAAAAGAACTGTTAAGATTTTTGTTGTTCTCCGACAACAACTTTATTTTTACATCGCATTTTTCAAAGACTGACCATTAAAGGGTTTGGGGCGGCAGTAGCTCAGTTGGGAGAGGCCGTAGAGGCCTTTGAGCCTGAAGGTCGTGGGTTCAAGCCCACCACAAGACTTTCTCCACCGACTCCCACTGATGCCTGCTGCTGTTGTGTCCTTAGGCAAGACACTTAACCTCCATTACCTAGAATGAGTCTGGTGTGTGTGTGAATGGTTGGTGGTGGTGGGAGGGGCCGATGGCACAGACTGGTTGCCTCGCTTCTGTCAGTGTGCCTCAAGGCAGCTGTGGCTACAGTAGTTTATCACCACCGTGTTTGGAGAGAATGATTAATGATGTGAAGAGTCTATACGCTCTTAGTGTTTTAATAAAGTCATAACAATTACAATCCCACTTTAGTTTCCAGGATCTACCTCTGACACATGCAGCGCCTAAGTAAACTCTTGATTACTGATGCGATCCACCTGCTGGAGTTCAGCCAGAAACAGTACAAACGTGTGGGTTTTAAAGATTCCAGGTTTGTCCAGCAGGGGGCGCCTCACCTCGTCGTAGATGCTCTCGATCTCATTGAGCAGAGACTTGGAGCGCAGCACTTTGGTGTCGTTCTGTTTGAAGTTGATTCCTTGATGATCCAGAGACTTGAGGTAATACTTCTCGTTCTGGTCCCTCCAGATCTTATTGAATCCTCTCTGCGCCTCTCGCCACTCGTCCTCTTTCGTTTTCAACCTGAGGAAAAGTCACCACCGTTTTAGATATTATCGATAAATGTCCCTCACACACGAGACTTGGTGATATGTGAAGTTTGAATATGTTTACATCAAAGTTCCACACTGATATGACAGAGGTTTAGAGTTTAGAGAGCAGTGAGAGAGAGACCAGAGAGAGAGAGACCAGAGAGAGAGACCAGAGAGAGACCAGAGAGAGAGACCAGAGGGAGAGAGAGAGACCAGAGGCAGAGAGAGACCAGAGAGAGAGAGAGAGAGACCAGAGAGAGAGAGAGAGAGACCAGAGAGAGAGAGAGAGAGAGACCAGAGGGAGAGAGAGAGACCAGAGAGAGAGAGAGAGACCAGAGAGAGAGAGAGACCAGAGAGAGACCAGAGAGAGAGAGAGACCAGAGAGAAAGAGACCAGAGAGAGAGCAGAGAGAGGGAGAGCAGAGAGAGAGAGAGCAGAGAGAGAGACCAGAGAGAGAGAGAGCAGAGGGAGGGAGAGAGAGAGACTCTGAGAGAGAGAGACTCTGAGAGAGAGAGAGAGAGAGAGAGAGAGACTCTGAGAGAGAGAGACCCTGAGAGAGAGAGAGACCAGAGAGAGACCAGAGAGAGAGACCAGAGAGAAAGAGACCAGAGAGAGAGCAGAGAGAGGGAGAGCAGAGAGAGAGAGAGAGCAGAGAGAGAGACCAGAGAGAGAGAGACCAGAGAGAGAGAGAGCAGAGGGAGGGAGAGCAGAGAGAGAGAGAGAGACCCTGAGAGAGAGACCAGAGAGAGAGAGAGCAGAGGGAGGGAGAGCAGAGAGAGAGAGAGAGACCCTGAGAGAGAGAGACCAGAGAGGGAGAGACCAGAGAGGGAAAGACCAGAGAGGGAGAGAGAGCAGAGGGAGAGACAGAGATCAGAGAGGGAAGGACCAGAGAGAGAGACCAGAGCGAGACCGGAGAGAGAGACTAGAGAGAGACCAGAGATGGATTAACTTCACAGTGACAATAGCTCCTTGTACCTTTTAGCTTAGCTGTTTTACTTATGTATTTGTCTGGGTCACCCCTTGCACGTGTATTCCAATGGGGTTTTACTGCTAATCTCACACCGACCTCTTCAACACGATGGGCACAGAGGCCGCTGGGCTCTTCTTCAGTCCGTCGATGATGTCCGGGGCCTTGTCTCCGTATATCCTCTGGATGGCCTTCCTGTGGACCACCTCTGAGGACCCGCCCAGACTGTTGTCCAGCCTGAACTTGGCCTGGTCCTCCGCAGACATCCGCGACAGCTTCCTCTGCACCGTCTCCAACACGCGGATCGTGGCCAGGTTTGTCTCCAGAACCACGTCCAGCTGAAAGCAAGGACACAGCGGAGGGTTTTGTACTCGGATACTCATAAAAGGCTATTTCTGTCGGCGATCAGGTCAGAAGACAGTATGTCTTAGATTTTGCATTATTAGAATGATGTGTGTGTGTGTGTGTGTGTGTGTGTGTGTGTGTGTGTGTGTGTGTGTGTGTGTGTGTGTGTGTGTGTGTGTGTGTGTGTGTGTGTGTGTGTGTGTGTATCACATAAGTCTTCTTCTTCCAAACTCTTTTTTCCCCCCACACATATTTATATATATATATATATATATATATATATATATATGTTGTACAGATCCTCCCTGTACATTTTCTGTTTTGTTCTTCATTAGCATGCTGCAGAATGTTATAATTTTGTATGGCTCAAAATAAAATATTTGATCAAAGAAAGACAGACACGAGACGTATCTGTCGCAGTAACACGGAGCTCACTGCAGGAGTAGAGATTGAGAGAAGCTAAGGAGGTGTTATAGAAATCTTATGTCTCATGTCTTCGGCCATATCTGTGTCTAAGAACAATGGGCCTCATTCACGAATAACTTCGTAAGAAACTACTCAACTTTCTTCTCAAGTTGTCCTTAAGTAGATTTCTAAGAAGTCCCCACGTGGGATTCATCAACGCACTCGTAAGCCGCTGAATTGTTCGCAGCTGTTCTCTCAGATTGATGAATCCCATTTCCTCGTAAGTACAGCGCGCGTGCCAGGTGCTTCATTAGCATAGGTACTTAGCATAAGTAACCGCCCACTAATGCCCATATAAGGGACTGCAGGGCCGTGTGCAGACGGCAGAGGAAACAGCAACAGGCCTTTACACGGAGCAAAAGAGTCACCCAGACTGAGAATAAAGTTATAAAATGTTGACTTAAAAGTCGAAATATTATGATAATAAAGTCGAACTAGCAAAATTATGAGATTAATCTAAGAATATGATGAGATTAATCTCAAAATGTTATGAGCTTAATTTAAAAATATATTATGTATTATTTTAAAGATGAATCTCAAAATGTTTTGAGATTAATCTCAAAATATTTTGGACCCTGGGAGGAGATCCAGCGCGGACCAGCGCTGAGACCAATGCAGACCCGAGGAGAGACTGGAGTGACCAGCACACAGAAACCAGCGCGGACCTATAGGAGAGACCGCATAGACTGGCGTGACCTGACTGGAGAGACCGGTGCGCAGAGACCAGCGCGGACCGAAGAGAGACCGCATAGACCAGACTTGAGAGACGAGCGCAGACCCGTATAGATCCATGGGAGAGACCAGTGCAGAGACTCAGCGCGGACCCAGTAACCTCCTGCAGCAGCAGTATATATGCCGTTGTTCTGTGGTCCGTGGATAAAGAAATGCCCCCTATAAATAGGAAGGGGTCACTAATACACGGCAAGATTTCCAATGTATTTGATAAAGCGTTGGCACATTTCATTTCAAAATGAATTAAAAAGTAGGCCAGATCTGCAGTGAAAAAGGCGGTATATAAATAAAGATTACTAATAAAGATTACTACAAATAAATAAATACATACATCGATATGACGGACATATCACTGGAATGTTGTATTTTTATTCAACTTCACCAAAGAGGACAACCCCGGCGTGTGAACATGTCGGCACTGAATGCGTACGAGTGCTCCTGAGGACTCGTAGGATTTGTACTTGCCCAAGAGAAATTCTGGTTACGAGAAATATTCGTGAATGCCACTTTCTTCGTAAAAACCGCGTAAGTAGGATTTACGTACAAATCTGTTCCTAAGAACCGTTCGTGAATGAGGCCCAATGTGTCCAGGTCAAAGCAGATTATTACATATATCAGAGCTGTATCAGAGTAAGGAAGTGTAAAGAGAAGCCTTGAGTCAGACATATAAATACTGACTTCATTTGTGTGTTTACTCTGGTCTATTTAAAGGAGAAGTTTGTAAAAATGTGTCCCAAAGTGGTACTGCAGCCTCTCCCACTCTCCCTGACTCAAGTTGCCAGATATGCAGAAGAATCCACTGACTTTCTGATTGGTAAAACAGTGGAGGGCGGGACATCAAAATGAAAACAAAAAGGCTGTAAAACTAATTTAGAAATTCAAATATCTCTGAACTACTGTTATTAGTTAAAAAAGTATTGGAAAAGAGCAGTTTAATAATGCTTTTTTACAGATTAGGGCCATTTAATGACATAAAAATCTTACATATTGCTGTCTTTAATGTCTCGGCCTGTGCAGAAATCCCACAACAGAGGCTTAAATCCTAAGAACTGGGAGATAGAATAGACTTTGAACAGATGCACTTTTGGCTCAAACCCAGCGATAGAAAAGGAGACAGACAGGAGGTGATCATACTGAGACAGGACTGACCTCAAAGCGCTCGTCTTCACATCTGTAAATGTGCTCCTCGTACTGGGTTTTCTTGGACGTGACAAAAGTCGAGTCTTCGGACCAAGACGGGAAAGAAACCCATGTGTCGTTCAGGACCTGGAGACAAAACAAACCATATTCTAATCCATATTAAAACAACCACATGTGTAGGAGCCTATAGAACCACATGTGCAGGAGCCTATAGAACCACATGTGCAGGAGCCTATAGAACCACATGTGCAGGAGCCTATAGAACCACATGTGCAGGAGCCTATAGAACCACATGTGCAGGAGCCTATAGAACCACATGTGCAGGAGCCTATAGAACCACATGTGCAGGAGCCTATAGAACCACATGTGTAGGAGCCTACATGTGTGGGAGCCTATAGGAGCCTATAGAACCACATGTGTAGGAGCCTATAGAACCACATGTGCAGGAGCCTATAGGAGCCTATAGAACCACATGTGTAGGAGCCTACATGTGCAGGAGCCTATAGAACCACATGTGTAGGAGCCTATAGAACCACATGTGTAGGAGCTAGAACCACATGTGTAGGAGCCTATAGAACCACATGTGTAGGAGCCTATAGAACCACATGTGTAGGAGCCTATAGAACCACATGTACAGGAGCCTAAAACAGTTTCTTCTTTTTTGTTTTTATCTAGAATATTTATATTTTGTTTTGTATTATTATTTCCAAAAAACTAGAATGCATTATTTTTTGGTAAATTTCCGAGGATTCTGGCGCCAGGCACTTAAGGCCCAGGTGCATCATGGGACAGTGTGGAGTGGAGCCAGATAGTGTTTTGACCTTACTCCCTGATTCTTGTTTTCTTGCCTTATTCCTGCTTAGCGTTTTATTTTTGCATCTTTGCTCAGTAAAAAGTTTCATTTCACTTTCTTCTCATGGATTTATTTTTACCGCAAGCATCAACTAAAAGCTTCAGTGTGAAACCTACAACAAGTGTAACTGTCTCTTTACTGAGTCACTGTAGCAGAGCCTCTAACGTACAGATGTAAACACACTACTATATATTACTTGCCTTAGAATATACCGCATTTTTACACTTGCTCCAAATGAAAACAAAAATCAACAAATGTGACCTTTATAAGATTATTTACCTCCACCATGTTTTTGATTTGTTGTCATAGGCTTAGAATTTGACTTATAAATGTCCATGAGGCTGAAGACTCTTAATGTCAAAGCGCCATCTTGGAATACAGAGGGTGAGAAGGGACAAAAGGAGTTTGAGCGGGAGTTGGGGACCACTTTCAAAGACCACATATTGTCCTGCGAAGCTAACGTAGCACCGGAGATTACAATATATGATCTCGATGCTGGATGGGAGTAAATCTACACAGTGTACCTTTAAGTCTTATGCTCAAGATGGAGAGATATGCTAGAGTTAGAGATTTTATCATATTTTAGTATAGAGTTATTATCCATTTCTCTCATTCCTCCTGCACCACTGACATTTCCCCACCGTGGGACAGCTAAAGGGCCGTACTCGACACCGTTGGCGCTCACCTCTCGGCACAGCGGCGTGCGGCCCGTGCACTTGGGCTGCTGGTAGCTCTTGGGCAGCGCTCTGTAGCTGGAGCCGAGCCGTTTGCAGGAAGCGTAGTCGATCTCCATGGCGATGCCCTCCGTGGCGCGCTCTTTGGGGTACGTCTCCATGTGGGACATCTCGCGGTAGCCCAGGAAGTTCTTGAACCAGTTAAACAGCTCCGGGAATTTACTGGGAACAAGTTCAATGTGAAGAGAAGTCAGAATGTGCGGAGAAAGAGCCAAACGGCAAAGGATTTATGAACAATTATGTAACCATTTGAGACTGAGACGTGAAGGAAATTAGCAATAACAGAAATAAATACGGAAAAATATGTCTGTTTGTGTATAGAAAGTGTCCTGGATTCAATAGCCCATGTTTGATGTTTAAATATATCTATATTTTTTTATTTTCTTTGGTGGAAAATGTATGAAAGTGTTTGAAGCTCATCTTTGCATCTATGGATATCGTGATATAAGGATTACTTTCACTTAACCTGAGTTAGGAGATTATTCTCTGATACATTTTTCTGAAGTAAACTAGTTCCGTCACCGTGTTTGGACTGAACCCAAACCGGCTCAAAGTAAAGAATTATCCAATGATTTATATTTCTTAAATGATCATTACGACACATTTATCTGTGTTGTAAATATTATCCTATCTGACTTTGTAACGACGATGAAGTTGACTCTAATCTACTCTAGTCTTTCTGAATGAACTGTGCTATACAAATAAACTTGCCTTGCCTCTTTAACAACATATCGTTTTGGTTTTCTGATCCTTAAAACCTATCATTATTGTGAACTTAAAATCATTTCCCGGATTCAATCAAAGAGCTCACCCTAGAAACGGTAGCACCAGCTGCACCAGTTCCGCTCTGGAAATCACCTCCTGATTAAAAATGACCAAACAGCGCAGGAAATTGTCGTAGGCCTCGGCGCTCCGCAAGGCTTTCCGCACCTGAGGCAAAAACAGAAAACATGGAAATCAATGAGAAAGCAGGAAATTATTATGATTTTGTCCGAAATAAAGTCATTTTCTGTTCAGCAAAAACATAGAAGAGAGCCGGCGACAAAACACAGCCCTGGGGAGTTCCAACACGGACTGGGAACTACTCTCAACCACGAAAAAACAGTGTTCTCTCAAAACCTACCATAGTTGTATCCCCTACACAAACAGCCCCTCCCCCCGACCCTTCTGTCCAAATGCTCCCGTTTCAAATGTGGTGCACTATAATGAATACGGGCAATTTAAGATAAGATTAACCTTTGTACGTCTCTCAGTGGAAACGTCACTGTCATCCTTGTGCACATTTCAGAAGAATAAAAAGAGACAATAAGAGCACCCACGTTATGCACACATCAAACAGGATCTATTTTTTATGATAATAGAATAATAAGATAATAATATAAACTCTGGAGCTGTAATGTCACTTGGAGTCTACACTGGAGTCAGCCGGAGGTATTTACAGATGTTTATAATGTACTTTAACAACAGATTAATGTAATAATGTGGTAATAAGTGACTAGTGGATTATCAGAACAGGCTCAGCAGTTCTCATTGTACAGTCTGACAGCAGCAGGAAAGAAGGACCTGCAGAATCTCTCCTTCACACATGGATAGATACGTCGGTCGTTTCTGCCTTTGAAAACAAAAGTTTTGCCCCAAAATGAGTCCTTGCAGCTTCTAGATTCAAACGACATCCGTGTGATGTTTATTTTATTGTTTCCAGAGAGTAATTCCCCACGTCTACCACCAGAGGGAGACATTTTATATCTCCATAGACCATTATACATGTTTATCCAAACATTTCCACATTCTTAAACATGAACTGTGAATATTCCTGGGGTCATGTTTAAATTAAAAAACAAAGATAATTAAAATAATCCGAATATTCTGATTATAATCCAGGTCTCACCTTGTCAAAAAACAGCGACTCGGTGCCAACCCCATGTTTTCCCACGTCTCCCGCTGACGTTTCTTTTAAAGACAGTAACTTCGGCTTCTTCTGTAGAATCACCAACAAAACAAAAGGATGCAAAAGGTACAATGATTAGACCATTGATCTACATATGGTACGACACACAATAGATACACAATAGACACACAATAGATACACAATATAGTCACATAGACATTAGCGGATATTTAAATTGACTAAACAAAGATAACCACACAAACACAAACCTTTACGTTGGACATAACCCTGATCTATCTCTGAATAATATGAGCAAATATAACAACAATCTCCATGTCGCGGTCCATAGACTCTCAGCTCAGATAGAGTAACCGAACCTTGATCGGTGGAGTGGCGCCCGCGGACGGGTGGCGGCGGATCTGGCAGCCATTTTGACTGAGTCTCTTGTTGTTGAGCTGCAGCTTCCTGGCCGTGCCGCCGTGGTCGTTACGAACCGAATCCGCCTTTTCAGCCGTCGTCTTACACAGCAGCTGTGAAGAGGACGGACATCAACAAAGAAACATATCCCTACCCAGATTGAGAGCGTTTCTACTGGTCCTGTGTAACCAGCACCAGGTCCTTCTTTAGTCCCTCTTGGTCCTGGTTCTATCCAGGCCGAGCTGGTGCTAAAGTGTCTAACTGACGGTGATTAGGCAGAGTGCTGCTGGGTTGGCTTCAATATTAGACTCATGTCTGAATTAGTACACGACAAGAATAGTAAAGCTGGGGTATCAAACTTTTTATCCATGATAATTAATACATTTTGTGCTGTTCTCGCCCCAGGCCTAACTTGAACAGACCACGTTTCCGTTTTAAAAGCAGGGCCTGGTGAAGGTTCTCTCACCACGGAGCTGTTGGCGTCTGGGAGGAACTGCCCGAACTCCGACAGCAGGTCTTCCTGGTTCTTGAAGAGTCTGGCCACCTGAGCGTAGACCTCCTGCTCCGTCAGCGCTGGAGTGTAGTTCCCTCCGGCCTCTTTGGCGTTTCGCTGCTCCTTCTGCAAACACCACAACACAAGTTATTAAGTTATTATTACAACAGTCAATATCAATACTGAGCTGAGTAGGTGTGACCTCCCGTCTGGAAGTGTCCGATTGTCTGTTCGCACATGTATGTGAAGTCCTGTTGGTTGAGACCTAAACTGGGTCCCGATCTCAGTACACAAAAAGTTGTTTTTCTTCTGTCTGTTCAAGAGTGATGTTCTATAAATGGGTCTTGGTCTTGGTCTTGGTCTTGGTCTTGGTCTTGGTCTTGGTCTTGGTCTTGGTCTTTTCACAGCCCTATTTAACCAGTACCAGGGAAGTTTTTAATACCTGCTTGGTCCTGGCTCTATCCAGACTGAGCTGGTTCTAGAGTATTCTAACTGACAGTGATTGGCCAGACTGCTGCTGGAAGCCACGGTTACCAAGGAATTTCCCCAGATATTGGTTTGCAGTTGGTAGGTTGCTAGGATACAGTACCACATACTAAAGCAGGTAGAGTAGAGTAGAGAATTTAGTGATTCTCTTTGAGTTTGTGAAGAGATGAAAACAACAGTAACATGGTTTATCAGTGTGGTTAGCGTGTAGCATGTAGCATGTAGCGTGTAGCATGTAGCCGAGGCCTGACCTGGTACGTGTGCAGGATCTCCAGGAAGGCCTTGTAGATGTCGGGCTGTCCCTGGAAGCGGTTCTTGATCTTGTTGACGTAGTTGATGGCGTGGTTGAACTCCACCGGCTGGTTGTTCTGGAGGGGGGCTCCGCTGGGGGTCCCGCTCCCAGGAGGGTGCAGCTGGATGGGGGGAGAGCGTGGAGAGGTGTAGGTGGGGATGGACGGAGTACTCTGACTGCTGGGGGTCAGCGCCTGCGGCTGAAGAGGACAACCATGCAGATGTTACAGATGCACACATGGGGTTTCTGTGGTTGGGTTTGACTGGAGCATTTATTTTGTTTTGAAGGCGCACATAAATAACGCTAATGCAGAGTTAGCACTTAGCACATGCAGGAGAACAGCAGACTCCACCCACTTCCTCAGGTGAGTCCAGTTTGAACCTGAAGATTTGAGGAAATGGGTGGAGTCTGAGGTGCTCCGTCTCAGGATGAAGCAGAACCTGAACCACACCTGGACCTTTCTGGAACCAGTGTGATTCCTTTGTGTATTTGGAAGAGGCAGAGTTAAATGTTTGTGCAGGAAGTTTCTGTAATTAGCGTGGATGGATCTAAAATCAACAGCAGGTCTGTGACAGATGAAGAACAATGGAATGTAACGGTTAAAAGCGTAAAAAAGACATTGATTTTGTATAATATCTCCTTAGAGAACCCAAGAGTGGAACGTTTGCCCGAGGTTAAGATGAAGAGATGCTTTATCGGTCCCACAGCGAGGAAATGTCTGTGTTGCCAGTCACAGACCAGCAGGAAAGAGGAGCACACCGCACAAGATTATGAACAATAACTCTTTACTGAAATAATAAAGTGGCAAGTATAACATTCTGTAAATTCTAGAGCAATAAATATTTAGTTTTATAACTTTGAAAGCATTGAATGGTCAAAGCTCGGCCTTCATCGCCAACTCACTGCCACCTTATAATCCAATCAGAACGCTGCGGTGCTCCTCAGCTCCCCCTACTGGAGGTTCGCAGAAACACAGGGAATCAAATTGGAGCTTTTGCAAATTATGTCCCAAAACTTAGGAACTTTCTCCTTTTCGACATTAGAAGCAGCTCCCTTAACATGTTTAAAACCAATCTAAAAACATTTCTATATACTTTAACTTTTAATGAACTTATTGTTGTGCGACTATTAATGACTTGTATGAGATGTCAGCTATTGTGTTGTTTGTATTTTGCTGCTGTGAATCACTTTGCATCGCACCTTTCAGACACAAATGCAGTTCAAATAAAGCTATTATTATTATTAGTATTAAATATATAGTAGTGTGTTTACATCTGTGTGTCAGCAGCACGAGGCTCTGGGACTAAGTGGCCGTTGACAAATCCTGACATCAGTTAAAACTTTTTGCACAGACGCACCACATGGGTCACCTTGCTGATCTTGGCAGGAGTGGTCTGGCACAGGATGGCTGCAGCCGCGGCGGTCGAGGTGGGGGGGTGAGGGACCGGGGGCAGGCTGGGGGCTCCAGTCATGGGGATGTTGGACACGGAGATGCCGTGGGGCGTGATGTGGTGGATCTGCCCCGGCGTGGTCACGTTAACCAGGTCGTTGGTCTGGACTTCGATCTTGTATCCGGGCGGCAGGAAGGTGTTGAAGCCCATGATGAGGTCGGGGTGGCCCTTGAAGAGCTGCGACACGCGGCTGATGACCCCCGGAGTGTCAATACTGCAAACGCACACAACGCACTTTCATTATCTTGCTTTGAAACGGTTTTTGTGGATTGGTTTCACGCTGGCTTTTTATCCTGTACTTTAACCTTGTTTTATTGATGTACTGTCGCACTGGGGACTTTTACACATGTATTCCAATGTGGTTTTTCTGCAAATGGTATTTAAACTTAATCTGAATTTTTTAAAAAACCTTTAATAATGACTAAAACTTGGGTATCCAACTTTTTTGTTTCATGAATAAAACATTTAGTCCCAACAGAAAGAGTCAGACAAGAATACGATGTTGTGACCAGACCACAACACTCCGTCTTCATCAGACTATTAAACATGGTTTTTTGCACACTTGTAATAAAGAGCCCAGTGAGTCAATATTTGATGATTTTTGGGCTGAGAGCTGATTGGCCGAGAGACTGAGAGAGGTCCACTCTTTCTTATTTCTGTCTGATGAATTTACAAAGTGACAGATGCCGTCATGAATTGTTGGCATCTGTTGCATGTGAAACTAATGATGGAACCAAACTGTTTTGAGAGCGAGGAACTAGTCACATGGATTTTATCACACAATAAACTGATAAACGAGTTTCCAGTTTCTTGAGTGAAATCCGGCGGGTTCGGTCTCTTCTCGCTGTAACCAGTAAACACCACTGAGAACTTTCCAAAACATTGGGCCACCATCTTGGACGCATTTTCCAGTTTATAAAATATTGGTGTGATCAGATTTACACGTTTACAGTCAAAAAAATCCTGTTTTGTACCTTTGAGACTTGAACTCTTTCATTATGTCCAGAAAGTCGTTGTAGACCTGAGGATGGTTTCCAAACTGCAGCTTGACTTGGTCCAAATACGACAGAGCATCTTCCACCTTTGGCACAAACAATGGACAAACACATTTAAAAATATTAAATATGACACTGTGTTTTCCAAAAGGCGTGGAATATGTCTTCATTATGATTCAACCACGTTTATTATGTAAATATGAGGTTTTATGTTAAGTCTTAATTATATTTTACAATCTGAAAGCCTCAAGAGCCTCTTAGCTCCTCAGGCTGTAGCAATAGCTTTTCCACTGAGTTGAACAGATGCAGGCGATCAAATACCCACTAGTCTGTATTAGGCCTGTACGGCGTTGTAGGATTGAAAAGAAACAAAAAAATCTGCTAAAACTAATACTGACAAATATTGGTGTTGTAAACGACAGCTGTGAAGGAGGAAGCCATATATCACTCCTCACCTTGAGCCGCTGAAACTGTGGCCCCTGCACAGAGGGCAGGGGGGGAGCGGGATGGCTGTGGGCGGAGATGAGGGCCGGGGCGTGGGCCTGCACCGCGGGGCTGTGAGCGCTGATGAGAGCCGGGGCGCTGGACTGGCCGTGGGCCGCGATGAGAGCTTGGGCGTGGGTCTGGCTGTGGGTGGGGATGAGGGCCGGGGCGTGGGCCTGGACCGCCGGACTGTGAGCCGCGATGAGGGCTGGGGCAGTGGACTGGCTGTGGGCGGGGATGAGGGCGGGGGCGTGGGACTGCACGGCGGGACTGTGCGCGGCGATGAGAGCTGGAGCGTGGGACTGGTGGTGGGACACACCGTGCACCGCAGGGCTGGGGGCGTGTCCATGTCCTCCGCTGTTCTGAGCCACTGTGGGCACCTGCAACAAAACAGTAGCTTAAAGATCACGTGTTCTCTGCTTTAAACATCATTACTGTGATATTTGGCCTCGTAAACACGCCCAGAGCAGTTCTTTGTTGATTCCCTCCAGCTTTAGTTAGAGGACTTTTGCTTTCATTCACATGAGGTGATTGACAGGGGGAGAGCAGCGCGTGCAGCCTCTGTCCCGAGTCCAGTGTATGGTCCAGAGACTGTAAATATCAGTTTGGTCCCACCGCCGTGTCTACCCCCCATGGAGTGTCCGTTTTGTGTTAGCATTACGTCAACTTGGAGAAAATGTGTTTTTGGGAGTAATATGGGATGACACTATTAGGTCCGAAGACAAAGAATGAGGCGAATGTGGCTGGACTTTTTGTTCACTGAGATCTGCCTCTGAAATCCTTTTTCTGTGACACTTCACCAAAGACTGTTCCAGAACTACAGTTACCATGAAACTGGACTTTCTCAAAAGCTGATCTAGAAACCTGGTTTTATTCCCACAATAAAAGAAGCAAACTAGGAGCCAAAATCTTTAAGAACAATGCAACTAACTCGCCATATACCATTGTAAATACAATAATGAGGGTCTGATTCTGGATCGAGGACATCGGCCTCTCTGCGACAGATTGCCAGTGTTGGAAAAAGTTTATTCTCAGGTCTGAAATGACTGATGTACTGGTGAAGTGTATGATGCGGAGAGCCACAAGGGCCAGTCCTGGGACCTCTTCAGTTAAAAGTGTGTCTGCTACCGTTAGGACCTGTTACTGCGCATTAACTCAGAACTACAGAACTACACGTGTATCTATGTCTCACTGTCGGCCGGAGAACATGGACCAGAGGATTCCTTCACTGTATCCATCAGATCTGTGAGTGGATGCAAAAACCTTTCATTCCAGCTAAACCCTCCCTTAATCAGGTTAGAAACTGCCAGTCAGTAAAAATAGAATATTACAGCTAAGAAGATGTAAATAAACAAGACCCATGCGTGTATCAATCGCTCTAAAACAACTGAAAAACAGTATAATAAATATTCAGATTAGTTTTTTTAAGAAGCCAAATTAATATTGACATTTCACATGTTCCAAATACATAATAATAATAATAATAATAATAATAATGATTACATGTTGTCATGGATTATACAGAAGGCCAAAGTATATTTATTTTAGGATAAACCTGAATGCTTTTCTTCACATAGTAGCCTCGTACCTGGTATCCTTGTGGGACGGAGTACTGCACTCCTGTGGGCTGCATGTTTTCGGCCTCATACACGGGGCCGGTCGGGGCAGTGGGCGGGGCCGGGGCGAGGGGCCGGTGCTGGAAGGCCTCCGCGGTACCAGCCAGACGCCTCTGCTGCGGCGCAAAAACCGTGTCCTGATCCTCCAACCGCCTCTTCATTATGAACTCATGCTCAAGAACTGTCACAACTGAGAAAGAGGAACCAAATATTTATATGAAGATGAAGAGATCCTTTGTTTGTCCCACAGCGGGGAAATGTCAGTGTTGTATCGCAAGGTACAGAGGAGCACACAGCACAAGATAAGGAAACAAGACCTCTATACTAATTTAAAGATATATATTATTTTTTCACAGATCATCCACTATATAACCTGTGTATATACTATATACTGTATATGTTGTAGGGGTGGGAACCTAAGGGTACAATACGATACACTATACACAATACAAAGCTCACAATAACTATAATATCACGATAACAATTTTATCACGATATGACGATTATCGATATATTGGTCAGAAATATACAATATGCCAATTTATGGCATAAATAAAAGAAAAATGTTCAGTGAAAAAATACACTTTATTTCATGATAAATGGAATGGAGATGCGTAATGTAGCCATATATTATGTATTGATACAAAACAAAAAAAATCAAAATTGATAGATACTTGGCAAATGCATATCGATAATCGAATCGCGGGAGAAAGTATTGTCACACCCCTAATATGTTGTTGTTGTTTAATGTAGCACTTCCCAAACACAGGTCCAGCAGCTGCAAAATCATTTAAAATAAAAATCCAAAAGTTTTGCATTGTGTTTAGTCAAATGAAAGTGAACAGATGAAATTGTTTTCACACTTCAAATGAATACTAAGCCTGTGATGGGAGACCTCTGGGAACAGCAGGTGCCACAGTGGGGCGGCTGCGGCTGTAAACTGTGGTTGTGTCCTTGGGCAAGACACTTCGTCCCCCACATTAGAATGAGTCTGGTGTGTGTGTGAATGGTTGGTGGTGGTGGGAGGGTCCTCTGACGGTGTGCCCCAGGGCAGCTGTGGCTACAGTAGTAGTTTATCACCACCGTGTTTGGGGAAAAAGAATAATGCTGTGAGTCCAAAACAGCACTATTTAAAACCAATGCATTATTATTATTAAAATGTTGCACAGTTCCATGTCTTGTGATGTGAAAGTTAGGTACCCCAGCTTTAATGAAATTGATGAATAAATAAAAAAATCTTCACTGGGATTGTCCTGCTTTACAATGTTATAATTGATATAAAAGCAGAAAGAAACAAGTCGTGCAGCTGTAAACTGTCTTTGAGCTTAATGCGGCTGTGCACAGAGACAAAACCACTGATATAAAAAGATAACTTGTTTATTTCAATGGATTATATTTCACATCACAGTAAAAACAAACACACTCAGGACACAGAACGTGCAGCTCATAAATATGTATTTGCAGAGGACTCTCAGCTGACTGAGGGCTGAACGTACCATTCACAGCCAATGAAATGTGCAGCAACACTACGTCACCATCCAAACAGGTGTTCTGCCATTCACAACTTCCCCACGACACACACCGCTCCACAGCCGCCAAACCTGCACAATAACAGCTGCGAGAGGCTGGTGCAGAAGCGCATAAAGTCGATTTCAGATCAGGATCAATCCGACAATGTGAATGAGAAGCAATGACAGCGGCTCTAGCCTCCGACAGAGACGAGTGCAGCAAACCGCTCGCTGCGAAATGCTCAAAACTAGACATTTCTCCAACGCGAATGCTTTTAAAACGTGCACCTACGATTCTTTTAAGCAGTTTCTACGGTATAGCAACAGAATACAGTCCATGCAACTCATTTTACAGCATGCATTTCTCGCTAAATCGTGTCCGAGGCCTAGCACAAGCTGAGACCACGCCGTAGAGTAGACATTCCTCGCCCGCCGCCATTTACAGAGAGCGAACATGTCGAGCACGGACAGACGTCACATTTGTGCAACACGTTTAAAAGAATGGGGCTCTGTGCAGGTGGAGAGTCTAGGGAGTGACGCATGCGCACACAAAAGCTGTTTACATGTTTTTTACAGCTATTAGTTTAGTCGGTCGGTTGAGTGCTAAGTGCTAGCTAATGTAAACAACAGCACTACCCTCGAGCAATGCGGGCTAAAGAAAACTAGAGACGCCACAGTCAACGCCAGGAATCCCACTCAAAGTCAATGAAAGTCTGAAAAGTGTATCGTTAGTTTTATTAAAATGTACCATTAGTCACATTTATCAGTGGTACAACTAGTGAATATAACGAAAAATATTGAAAAATCACTTTGTTGGAAGGCTAATGCTAACTGGTAGCAGGTTAACGCTATGTTGCTATGGTTACTAGGCTTCTCTACAAAATTAAAAGCATGTCGTTAAAACAATGCCAGACAAACTACTGAAGTCAAAGTTAGGAAGAGCAAATATTTACATGAGCTGAGGAACTACACTTTGGGAGTTCTAGTGTTAAAAATATATACTTTCATTTGATCATTGGGATTTAATTCAATTAAAGTAAATCTAATGGTATCAGAAAGATTATGTTCAGTCGTATTGATGATTGGTTCCATATAAAGCTAGACAAGCCCAAATGTATTGTTGCGTCCATTACTTACTTAATAAATCTGCATCATGATTATTTTGGGCTGCAAAAATGAATTGATCTTTTAAGTAATAATCAACAAATTCAATAAGCAATTAATCAGATATTGACCCAAACATATTTGAGCATGTGTGACTCAAAACACAGCACAGATACTGCAGAATAGAATGGGGAAAAAAGTTGCAACATATTATTTATATCAAATAGTATGTTCAATAATCCCATATAATAAGAAAAAATCCTTTATTCGTCCCACAGTGGGGAATTTTCAATGTTGCAGCACACATACAGGACAGTAGTCAGGGCACACAAAATAAGTAGCTGCTATGTTTCCTAGCTAGCTGTAAATGCTTCAATATCAACCTTTGCATACATAAAAAAATGCTTGCTCAAAAGAATAATCACCCTGGTAATCGATTATAAAAACGATGGTTGATTCCAGCCCTAAGAATACATGTTTTCAGTCACAAGATGGCCGCCGCAAATACAACACCATCCAGTCTCCTCTAGCATTTACCAAACAGCCTTGCGCCACGACTAGCATAGAAGCACATGCAGCTAAAAGCTAACAGTGCAGATTCTGATCAAACTATTGCAGATTTTAGGGCTTAAACGGTAAACTTAGTGAGAGAACAGAGCCGTGTGTGTCATCGGAGGAGTTTGATTGCAGAATGGATCCCTGCGAACTCACCCTCTCTTCGTAAAAGCCTGAAGTTTTGTAGATTACGCGATGATCACAATATTTTCTGCGGTCGGATTCCCCCAAACAGAAAACAGCGGCGTCAGTTTGCAAAGTATGGATGATATTTTGTGCGAAAACATGAGAATGAAGTGAAGCGCTCTCCTTCGACAGAGGAAAACAGTCTCCGTTCGGTTCGCTGTGGGGGGCGTGTTCGCGCGGCTCAGGTCCCGCCCATGCTACGAGTCTATTGGACGTTTTGAGCGGGGGGGCGGGGCCATGGACGTGGATTGGTTGTTGGAGCTGCCTGTCATGCCCTAATGTCACAGAGGTCCCGCACACCCATTTTGAGTTGTAGCGCGATTGTTGCTGCTACTTCCAAGAGCTTTCATGATCACAATACAGCGTTTAAAGCTGGGGAACTTAACTTTCAACACACAAACATGTAACGATGCGAAAAATCTAGCTAGGTCCACGCGCTCAAAGTGGATTATATCACTAGTTTTCACATGCACGCATGTTTAGCCTGTCAGATTTTTTTCAGACAGAAAAGTGGAAAAAGAGGGGACCACCAACCAATCAGCTCTCAGTCCAAACATGCACACGTACATGCACAAACTAACACACACACACACGTATCATTTAAATAAAACCTCATTCATTCATCTAGCTTTACCAGCCCCATCCGTTTATGTTTGTAAGTCAGAGTTGGAACTTGACAGCTGGAAAAGATCAGTGTTAGAGTCTGTAATGCTGTGTCCTCCATGCGTTTGACTCCAACATGTTTGATATTTCCCGTGGGTCGTAGGCTCTGAGTCTGAACGTAGAAGGCACTGTCAGAACGGTGCAGGTCAAACACTGAGGGACCGGAGGAAACTGGAAGATCGCGGTCACAGAGGTGCACTCCAGCCATAGAAGTTTTAATAAAGAGAACGTTCATGCTATGCACGCTTTGTTATGGGCTCTCGTCTCACTCGGAGTTGGCCCAGTGTGAGTGTAGGGCTGTCATCCGGGACATTTTTAAACATCTGGACAGTGGTCTTCCTGCTCCCTATGGACCAACGGCTCCTATGTGTTTGTGATCATTGCGTTTCTTGAGTTTGATGTGTTTGATTCTCTGATCTGCTGATTGATGCATCGACAACTTGGAGATGACTGCTCTTGTGATTTAGTGCAACACACAAATACATAGAATTGAAGATGGAGACAAAAGCCACAGTCCCTGAGGCCTCCACACATGTTTCTGCACAAGCCTCAATGGCTCCTAAACCATCACATTCCCATCACTGCTCCATCCATGACTCGCCCGCTTCCTGGAGGTGGGGGCGAAACGTGACCCCGCCCTCACCCAGCCCCATGCCTTCCAGAACACGCATTGACCAATCCTTACGCACGGATCTGATCACAAACCCAGAAGAAGGTGGGACTCCAGGACTTAAGCATCGCCCACGACAGGCGGAGCTGAGCAGAGGCAGACCGAGCGGGGAATCCTCCTCCTCCACCGCTCGGATCCCGGGCGAGGGAGGCACCGCGTCGAGCCCCCCCTTTGTCCGCGCTCCAAGCACACGCACAGGCATCGCGTTCGTCTTGGCACACACCATAATCTGGCCAGAAATAACGCCAGAACCGCAGTGCAGGCAGGAAAACCCACTCACCACAACCAGGAGAGATCACGCACACAGCTGCGCCCGCTCCAGAGGCTCCATGGAAGCTCCACGCAGGCGAACGCGCGGTGAAAACTGTCCGAACCCATCTCGCGTTGCCTTTCCGTGTGGAACAACGCAGCAGATTCACAAAAGCACTTCCAATCTCACTCCGATCCGACTGCCCTTTCCAAACAATGCCACAAAGTCACACAGCCTGTGCTACACACTGAGATAACTGTTGTTGTTGTAGTACAAGACCAATAAGCGAAACCAAACCACGCCAGCAGCTTACGCATACAAAACGCAACGCAACACAAAACAGCCGCCCACACCACGATATCAGCGATCATATAAATGCACACCTTTTCAACAAGGTATGCTTTGTTTATCGTTAAAAACAATGTGAGTAGAGCCCATGTCGATCCTGCCAACACTATCCCTCCCCCTTCACGATCCATTGGCCAAGCGGCGATCCAAACACATAGCACTGCAGACTTGTAATCACACGGCATGGAAGAGTTTAAACCATTGACAGACGTAAATCCCCAAACAACAAGCACACACTTTGAGATTTTCAACAATTATGTGTCTTGTTTACGCGCGATCAAAGCTCCCGCGGGTTCACGCAGGACGCAGACGGAGGTGACGCGGACACACAATGTGCATCGTTTCACAAAGTGGGACAAAGAAAAGGAGATTATTGAGTTTAAACAGCTGTCACATACCCAGGAAAAGGACTCCTTACTCCGGATCCGTGTTTGTAACAGAACAGTCGGGAGCCGCCCCCCTCTGATGCCGATTGGCGCAGACTTCGAGGCGCGTCATGTTGTTTTCGAAGAGAACCCGCTAAAAACTGTGGTGGAGTGTGGTCCAAGTGGCGCAGAGAGAGCGGTGTGTGTGTGTGTGTGTGTGTGTGTGTGTGTGTGTGTGTGTGTGTGTGTGTGTGTGTGTGTGTGTGTGTGTGTGTGTGTGTGTGTGTGTGTGTGTGTGTGTACATATGTGTGTGTGTGTTTATGTATGTGTACATATGGGGGGGGGGGGGGGGGGGGGGGGTCCTCCAAATTTTTTTTTCTTTTTTTTTGTTTTTTCCCCTTTTGGGATGGGGGCAAAATTGGCCGGATTAAAATTAAATGGGGGGGGGGGGGGGGGGGGGGAACCACAGGGCCTTTGTTTTTGGGGCTGGAGGGACTTTTTTTTGTATTTTATTTGCCCAATTTTTTTCCGGGATTTCCAGGGGGGGCTTGTCGGGGGGGCATTAAAGGGGGGGGGATGAGGGGGGTGCAGGGGGGGAGGGGGGGGGATAACTGGGAAAAACACCCGTAAAATCCATTTTTCTTTTTACCCCTTTGGTTTTGTAGGTGGCCCTGGGGGGGGGGCTTCTTTTTTTCTTTGTGGTAATAAAACAAATTAGGCCGGTGGGCCACCCCCACCCTTTGGGGGGGGGGGGGGGGCCCAAACAATTGGGGGGCCCTGCCCCCAAACAGGTGCGGGACCTTTTTCGCTTAATGCCCAATTGTCTGGGGGGGGGGGCCCCCCCCAATCCAGTTCTATTACCATTACTTTTGGGCAAAAAAAATAAAATACTTTCCCCCCCCCACCCTTTGGGGGATTTTTTTTTAAAACATACTGGGGGGAAAAATTATTTGTTTATGTTTTTGGGCTGTGTTTTAAGGCTTTTGGGGAAATACTTTTAAAAAAAAGGTGTCCCCAATTTTGTGTTTACGCCGGGGAGGGCTTTTTAAAAAAAAATAATAAAAATAAAACTTTCCAATAAAATTTTTTTAGTTTTGGCTCCACGGGGGTTTTGTTCCCCCCCCACTTTATTTTTTCCCTGATCCCAAAATGCCACATCTGGAATGGGTTTTTACCGGGTTGGGCCTTTATTTTTTTTAAAAAGGGGGATTTTCCCCCCACCCCCAGGGGGGTTAGGAAAAAAAAAAAAGGGGCCCCCACATTTTTTTTATTTGCTTCTTGGGGGCCTTTTTTTTGTAAACGGGTGCCAACTTTTTTTTTTTTTTTATTCAAAAAAAATTTTATTTTCCAATGGTGTTTTTCTAGGGTCCTCAAATACAAAATGTACGGGGGACCCAATTTTTTTTTGTTTTTATGGTGGGGGCAGGGGGGGGGACAATTGAAAAAAAAAACAGTAGAGGGCAAGGAAAGGTTGGTTTTCTCTTTGGGGGCCTTGGGTTGTTTTAACTATCGGCCCTCCCCCCCATATTTTTTTCTTTCTTTTTTTTTTGTTTTTGGGCTCCTGCATGGGATATAAAAAACCATAATTTTTTCTTTTAAATTTGGGGGGGGGCCCCCTTTTGGTTTTTTTTTCGGTTCACTTGTTTTTTTCACGGGGAGGTGTGTTTTCTTGAAGGGGGAAAAAAAAAAAAAAAAGGTTGGTTTTTTTTTGGATTTTTTTTTTTTCTTTTGTTTTTGTTCCATTTTCTGTTATTTTTTTTTACTTGTTTTTTTAACAAGGGTTTTCTTCTTTTCTTTTTTCTTGTCCATATTTTAAATTAAAAAAATTTATTATTTTTCGTAGCCTGATTTTGTCTGGGGGAAGGTTCGGGGGACCTGTTTAAATAATCCAAAATTTAGGGGGGGGGGGGGGGGGACTTTTTTTTTTTTTGTTTTTTTTTCCTTTTGGACTATTTTAAGCTTTTGGCCCCAACCTATAAACCAAAAATCCAAAATATACTACTGGGTTTGTAAAAAAAAACAAATTTTTTTTTTTCCATATTTTCTTATAATAAAATAATATACCCCCAATTTTGAAAGGGACCATTTTGTAAACTTGTTTTAGGTCCACGCCACCTTCAACCCCAAGTAGGCGGTTTTGGTAAAAATGCCGTTAAGGCCTTGTTATTTTTCCGGTTGGGGGGCTCCCTCCATGGGGATTTTGTTTTTTGGGCCCCAGGGGGGGCCTTTTATTGGGGGGGGGGACATACCACCACCCTCTTTTTTGGCCCTTTTTTTTTCTCTAGGGGGCCTTTGGGGGACAAACCCCTTGATTTTTTTTTTTTTCTTTCCTTTTTTTCTGTTGTTTTTTGCTTGGTCCCCATTATTGGTGATTTTTGGGCTTTCCAAGGGGCCCTTAGCTGGAGAGCACTGGGGGATAAAATATTTGGCCCAGGTTGGTTTTGTTGAGGGGGGCCCCACCCCCTCCCTTTTGTAATAAATTTTTTTTCCCCCCCCGCAAAAAAAAAAAAAATAACCCTCCCCCCCACCCCCCACCCCTGGGTTTTTTTCGGGGGACCTTACATATAAAAAAAACTAAAAAACCCCCCCCACAATTTTTTTTTTCAGGATCAGTTAAAAAATCCCCCTCCCAAAAGGGGGGTCCTTTTTGCAATTGTTTTGTTTCTTTTACAGAAGGGGGGGGTGGGGGGGGGGGGGTGGGGAATTGTGCATTATGGGGGGGGGGGGTGGAGGGGTGACCCGGGTTTTATGGGGGGGGGGGGGAAACATAGGGGGGGGGGTGGGGGGAATTTTTTTTTACCCCCATTTATTTTGGATTTTTATTTAAGGGGGGGCTTGGGGGAAAACCACCCAGGGGGGTGGGTTTGGTGTTTTTTGTTTCCCGGGTTTGGGGGGTTCGGGGGCCCCAACCCAACGTGTTTTTTAACAAAAAAACCCCCAAGGTCCCCCCACATTTTTTTATGACAGTGGGATGGGTTTTTATTTGGAGGGGGGGAATTTTTCTCAGTGGGTGTATTGGGGAAATTAACCCACCCAGGCGGTTTGGACAAAAAGGGCCACCCCCCACCCCCACCCAAATACACCAAAAACCCCCACCACCCACCCCCCCCCACACAACCCCAACACCCCACCCCATCCCCACCACACCCACACCAAAAACCCCACCCCAACACCAATCCCACCCCCACCCCCCCCCCACTCCCCCCTCCCCCCAACACCCAACCCCCCACCCCCCCAACCAACCTCCACAAGGGGAGGGGGGTGGGGGGGGGGGGGACGCTTTTTTTTTCTTCCACCACACCCCCACCCACCCCACCCACACCACTACCCCACAAAACAACAAGGAAAAACGCTCCTTATCCCCAAATCCCACCAAACCCACACCCCACACACACAGGGGGGGGGAACTGCTTCTTCCACACCCCCCCCACCCCCCCACCCCAACCCCCCATCAACCTACAACCCACGGGGGACGCTTCCTTCACCAACCATCCCCACCAAAACATCCCCCCCCACAATCCCCCCACCTAACACACCACCAACCCCCCAGGGGGAACGGGGGCTCCTTCCCCCCCAAAACACATGTAAAACCCACACGGTCCCCATTTTACCATTGGTGGGGGTGTGTGGGGGGGGGGGGGGGGGGGGGACCTTCCTATTGTCCCAACAGCCACAAATACAATTTTACAAGGTTTCATTTTTATTTCCTCCCCCCCCCCCCACCACCAACAAGTTTAGCCCCAAATATCGTCCTGGGGGGGTTTGCGCCTTTTTTTTAACCCAATAGGGATAAACCGGGGGCCTTTTTATCCTTCCTGAAGGGGGTAAACAAAAAATTCAAAAAAACCCATGGGGGGGGGGTAAAAAATATAATAAAAAGTGAGGGGGGGGTAACCCCCAAAAAACAATAACCCAATTGGGGGGGGTTTTTTTGTTTGTTTTGTTTTTTGATTTCCCAATTTTTTTATTTGTTTTGGGGGGGGGTTTTTTTTTAATTTCATAAGGGGCACTCCATTTTTTTGTGTTGTACCAGGGGGATGGGGGGGGGGGGGGGAGGGACAATCCATGGGGGGGGGGGGAACCCATTTTTCAATTTTTATGTATGTTTTTTAATTTGGGGATAGGGGGCTTAAAATTATTTTAATTTTGTTTCAAAAATATTTAAATTTTATTTTTGGTTGTTTTGGTTGTGGGGCGTTAAAAAAAAAAATAAAACCCCAGGGTAATTTTTTTTTTTTGTGTTGTTTCTTCTGGCGTATAACCCAGTGTTTTTTTTGGTGTGTGGGCGTAAAACAAATAAACAAAACCTCCAAGGGGGTTTTTATTGGTTTTATTTTGCGTGGCGGTTAAAAAAAAAAAAGGGTATTTGGGTTGGTTGGGGTGAGGTTATTAAATTTTGGGAAAATGTTTTGTTATTTTTCTGTTTTTACAGAAAAAAACTAATTTTTTTCTGTGTGTTTTTGTTAAAAAAAAAATTCAATAAAACCCGTTTTGTTTTTTTTAACTTTTTTTGTTTTCGGGGGAAAAAAGGGGGGAGGGGGG